TCCAGCCCTAGTCAAGACTTCAGATCAGCACAGCCTCAGCCAACACTTTGAAAGCAGTCTCATGAGAGATATTGAGCCAGAACAAACAAGCTAAGATGCTCTCAGATTCCTAACCTTGTTCTTTGCCTATAAGCCATTTTTGTCTAATGGAGTGACTCTCAATAAGATTCACAGGAAACTACAAAGTGTTTAACAGAATTATGTTGGCAGAGACACAATCAGCTTGGTCTGAAAATGATAGAGATGGTACAAATGGAAAAGAAGGCTTTAGATCCCAAAATTCTACTAGCATAAAGTAGGCTGAGAAAACAACACAGCTGCAAACACAGGCTGCCTTTCGTGGAAAAGCAAGGATGGTTCAGAAGGTAGAGCCAAAAGCATAGCAGGCAGAATGATGGAGGATGTACAAATTGTCAATAAGCACATGAGATGCCATCTTGGAGAAATGCATTAGGAAAATGTCAATCAAAACCACAGTGAGATACCACTTCATGTATATTAAGACAGCAAGAGTCAAAAAAAATTAACAATAACAAGTATTAGCAAGGATGTAGAGAAACTGGAACCCTCACACATTACTAATAGGAGTGTAAAATGGTGCAGTTGCTTTGAAAAACAGTCTGGAAGTTTGTAAAGAAGTTAAATATAGAGTTAACTTCTATATTACCACGGGAGCCAGTAATTCCATTCCTACTTTGAACCTTAGAGAGCTGAAAACTTTTGTATGAAAACTTATTCGCAATAACATTATTCATAATAGCCAAAAGATGGAAACAACCAAAATGTCTATCTACTTACAAATAAGTAAACAATATATGGCATATCCATATGATGAAATATTATTTAGCCATAAAAAAGAATGGAGTACTGAAACATTTTACAACATGAATGAACCTTGAAAACATTATGTTAAGCAAAGGAAGCCAGACACAAAAGGCCACATATTGTATAATCTCATTTATATGAAATGTCTGAAATAAGCAAATCTTGTGAAACAGAGAGTAGGTTAGTAGTTTCTAGGGGCTGGAGGGAACGGGGAGTGATTAGAAGAGTGGAAATGCTCTAGAGTTGGATAGTGGTGATGGTTGCACAACATAGTGAACACATTAAAACCACTGAATTGTGTACTTCAAAATGGTAAATGTTATGGAATGTTAATTATGTTTAAAAGGAAAAGGAACCAGGAAGACTCATTCCTGGACAAAAAAAGACTGTCCTAATAAGGAAATTTCAACATTTTCCCAGCTGGATTTCAGAATTGCTATGGACCAGCGATTCCTGCATGCCTCTCATTTCTCCTCTTCTAAAACAATAATGTCTATAATGGTTATCTTTTAACTGTACTATCATTGTGTTGATATGTGGGGGATGTTAATTTATCTTTTTAGGTCACAGGTAGTCAAATTGAGAGGATCTGTACTTAAGGAATTATATACAAAGAATCTCATCTACACCCGAACCTAATTTAGATAGTATACTAGTTTGCTCAGGCTGCCATATAAAATACCGCAGACTGGATGGTTTAAACAACATAAATTTATTTTTTCACAGTTTTGGGGGCTAGAAGTACAAAATCAAGGTGTAGAGAGGTTTGGTTTCTTCTGAGGCCTTGCTACTTGGTTTGCAGATGGCCACCTTCTCATTGTGTCTTCACATTGTCTTTCCTCTGTGCACGCACAGCCCTGGTGTCTCTTTGTATTCCGAATCTCCTCTTCTTATAAGGATATCAGTCAGATTGGATTAGAGTCCACCCTAATAGCCTCATTTTAACTTAATCACTGTTTTAAAGACTCTATCTCCAAATACCCCAAATATTCTGGGGTACTAAGGGTTAGGATTTCAATATATGAATTTGGGTGGTGGGGACACAATTAAGCCTATAAAAGATGGCTAATGTATTGTATATTTTTAAAACTACATTTTCCTGATGTTTTAACATCCCCCCAAACAAGCTGTGAACACCTTACCAGCTGACCAGGTACACCTGTGTGATAAAGCTAGTTCCTGTCACATCTTCCCTTTCTTGCCCTCTCCTGACTGTGACCTCGTGACATTCAAATGCACCAATGAAATCACCTCATGTCTTTTGCTTGTGTACTCCACGCTGACCCAATAAAGTCAATTTTTCATGGGTCCTCACTCTCTTGGCTCCCCATTGCTTGGTTGAACCCACTCCCTTGGTACTCCTCCCAAGTGGCCCCCTCCATGGCATGCCATGGCTCCTTCTTCTAGGACCTGTGACTATAATAAACTCTCAATTTTCATATTCCTCTGTGTGTAATTTCCACATCCTGGTTGGAATAATTCTTAAAGACCCCATGAGGGGTCTTTACAACACAACAAGATTCTGAACCTTCAGCTTACTGATGCTGTAGTGGGATGAGACTTTTGGGGGGCCTTGGGAGAGATAAGTGTATTTTTCATGTGAGAAAAATGTAAATAATTTGTGACCAGAAGCAGACAGTGGTAATTTTAAAACAGATCCACAAATTTATGATATTCTTCCCCTCAGCAGATGAAGTTTAATGTCCCCCCAACCCTTGAGTAGGGAGTGAACTTAGTGACTTGCTTCCAACAAATAAAATATCATGGACAGTGTATTTCTTTCAAGACGAGATCATGAAAGGCACTGGAGCTCCCTCCTTATCACTTTCTCTTAGATCGCTCACTCTAGGAGAAATTAGCTATGAACATTCAAGCAGGCTATGAAGAGGTCCTTGTGGCAAGGAACCGAGGCTTCCTACCAACAGCCATATGAGTGAATCATATTGGAAGTAGATCCCCCAGATTCAGTCAAGCCTTCAGATGACTGCAACCCCAGCTGACATCTTGACTATAACCTTATGAGAAACCCTGAACAAGAACCATTTATCTAGGCAGCTCCCAGATTCCTGACCCCAGAAACTATGTGAGATAATAAATATTTATTATTTTAAGATACTAAGTTTGGGGTAATTTTTATCCAGCAATAGGTAATATACTAGGTTTTTATCAAAAGAGGAAAATTATGTATAGACTGAAAGAATGGCCCCCTTTATTCATTTACGTTCCCTGCCTAGCCTCTGTAGGCATTTGAGTTTATGACTTCTACAAAATCACAAAGTCACTTTCTCCAATTAAGACAGAAGTCTCTAAGACAGAGGTTATGACATCCCTTTGTTTTGTATCTCTTCCTCCAAGATGATTAATTCAACAAGTCTTCCAGTCTACGGCCATGCCATCCTCAACGTGCCCAATTTCGTCTGATCTCGGAAGCTAAGCAGGGTCGTGCCTGGTTAGTACTTGGATAGGAGACCATCTAGGAACAGGTGCTGTAGGCATTTAAAAAATAATAAATAAATAAACAAACAAGTCTTCCAATAAAACCTTACAAGCTACCTATTTTTTATTTATTAAAAAATAATAAATAAATAAACAAACAAGTCTTCCAATAAAACCTTACAAGCTACCTCAGGAGAGGAATATAACGGGGATAATGAGTAGGGATTGTGGAATGTCGTTCTGCCTAATTTTCTTTCTTCCTTCCTTTCTTAAACAAACAAGTCTTCCAATAAAACCTTACAAGCTAGAATATAACGGGGATAATGAGTAGGGATTTGTGGAATGTCATTCTGCCTAATTTTCTTTCTTCCTTTCTTTCCTTTTTTTTGTTCTGCCTAATTTTCAAGCCCATGTATTGGGTTCATTGCTCAAAATATTTGCTTGGAATGAGGTTGGAAATTCCACATCTCCTAATCAGCTATGATAAGAATAATAATCTTAAAAAACTCCAATAGAAATCAGTCATATATAGTAGCTTGATACAATGAAATTGCCAACATTTAACTGCTAAAACAGCAGTATCATATGGTTCAACCTAATAATACATATATTTTTACCATATCCAATCCACTCACAATTTGTCCCTCCACTTCTCTAGCTGGCTGGTATCATGGCTCCATCTGGAGAGATATTACATGACAAATATCAGTCATTAAGTGCTCTCCTGGGAGGCTACCTTTTCTGTGCAAGATGTTGGAATCCCAAAAGTCATTGCTAGCACTGTCCAAGCTAGCTGCTGCATGTCTTTGTGAAACTGAGTTTATATCCAAATGTGCAACTTTTCTTTTGACTTTAGGGCCCAACCTCAATGTTTCCTTCCTTATCATGTTTTATTCCTGCCGTTACAGGGTAGAAAATATGCGAGGCTTGGGTGGAGAGCTATAGCAGCCAGAGAGTGGGCTTGGTGGGTGGTGGTGGAGGTAGTGAAGTTGATGCAGTTAGTGGTGGTGGAGGTGGAGGAGATGGAGGTAGAGTTGGAGTTTGCGCTGGCGGTATTCAAGCACAGAGCTCTATGAATTATCAGTCATCTGAGCTAGACACAGAGCGTGGGCCTGCTGCCCAGGGCACATCATAGAACCATACCCCCTATAGTTTTCTCATTGTTTAATCTGCCTCTTACCCTGGGGTCATTTTGCTCTTGAATTCTTCACTGTGAATAATAATGCCAACAAATTCATAAGTGATATCTCTCTCCTGATCACTTCCCCCTACCTATTAACTAACAAATGTTGAGCTGGGGTAACAAAGTTTAAAGAGGTTTAGCTCTCAAAGAGGGATTTACCTGTGTACAAGTATGCTGTAGGAGAGGTTGGACAGGTTTGGTAATGAAGACAACTAGGACAGGTTAAACAGGAGGGTGCCAAAACACTCCTAGGCAGAAAGAACTGAGAGACAAACTTGTTCTTTCTCCCTTCCTCTCTTTAAGATTGTCTTGTCTCAACAATTGACAGACATGATAAACAAGAGGCACACAATTTATTCCACATCGCCCAAGTTGTAGGTAAAACAGAGACAAGAGGAGGAGGGGAAAGCTTGTCTAAAATCCTTCCTTTCTAATTATTTGCAGGGAAGAGGGCCAGTATCCTCAAGGTTTGTGGGAAGAATGAGGAAAGCAATTCAGATGAATGGACAAAACTTGATGCCAGGAGTTCAAAAAAAGGTTACTGAGATGCTTTTTCTTACTCAAGATCCAGGACTTCTTCTTGGTTGACAGAGGTGTTTGAGACGATCTGATCATTCGGAGAGTCTGACCTGGAACTGCTGATGCAGGGCACGGTGCTGGAGGGATGGCTCACAATCAGACTCCAGAAATGTTTATGGTTGAAGTAGCAGAGGAACGTTGGAAAAGAATAAGGGGACAGGAGAGGGAAGTCAGAGAGTGGGAAGAAAGTGGCAAGCAGGGTGAAATCAAAGGGAAAATAAGTCCCTAAGAACCTATCCCTGTGGACTGCCAGCCCCCTCTCTCTACATTTTCTCTGCCCTAACCCATCCATGTCCCCTCTTTCCCAGGGCCCTCCAGGCCACTTACTACAGGTGACATATAGGACAAACACCACCCAACCAATGAAATAGCTCCAGCCGGTAGGGATTGATAAATTTCTCTTCAACTCGAAGATCCAGATGTTAATAGGAAACAACAAAAGGGTGAAGAAAATGAAGATAGCTAGGAGACAGGAAGCAGTGAGGTCATTCTCACACAAGAATCCTGTAGGGACTCTTCTCGTCTGCTGAGCTACAGCCACAAACTACAGCTCCCATCAGCGCGCACAGAGTACACAGCCCCAAAGGTTCATGGGAATCAACTGCTCACCTCCACCTCTCCAGTGACCAGGAAATGATGAAAATCAATTCTTAGTCAACAACTACCAGTCTGTTCTACTACCACCCACAAAACCTCTACCCTATTCCCAAAACCTCTACCCCATTGCCCAGAGAGATGTGGGTTAGGGGAAACTAAGCACCTTTTCCAGAGCTAATGAGCACCTTCCTAGAAGCTCACGACAATTCCAATCCAGCCATAGAAGAGCAATCTCTGACAACCAGGCAAGTATGGCAGGTGCAACCAGATGGGAAAGATGAAGCCCAGCCCCCGGGTGAGGCAGAAGGTTATCTTGGCCATTCAAAAAACTGGATCATTTGTCCACAGCTTAAAACTTTCTGGGGAAAAGGAGAAAACAGGATGAACTAAGGATTCATAAAAGATAAAATATAATCAAATGAGCGAATACAAGAAAATGTTCAGGCCCATTAATAATCAAAGAAATGTACGTTTGAGATAACAATAAAATATTGCTTTCACTTATTATACAGGCAGAGATTTTTGATATGGAGTTCATTTGATAAGCCTGACCGTATGAAACAAATACCTCAAAAATAGGCAGAGGACTTGAACTGCAATTCTCGAAGAAATCGGAATGTTCAATAAACACATGAAGCTCAACACATAGAATTGCAAACTAAATGTGATTTTTTTAATCTATTAAAGATCAAAACAAAAGTGATGATAACTAGTGTAGGAAAGGATTTAGAAAAAAAAGAGGCATTCTCACACACTGCTAATGGGCAGCATATCTGGCAAGTGATATGGCACAAAATATAAAAAAAAAAAATCTAAATTGTTAAGGCCCTTTGACCCAGCAATGCTTCTTTTCAGAATTTGTGTTGAAGAAATAATCCAAGGTCTGCACCAAAATCTATGTACAAGAGTCTTATTTGCAGATATTTCTATGTCCAATAAGAGATTTATTATATTAATTACAGTGTACCCATAAACTGGATTATTATGTGTTCATTAAAAATGATGATACGCTAGATGATTGTCTCCAAATAAAGTATCTCTAGAAAAAAAAGAGGGACTGAGAAGGGAGCCTAAAAGCCAGAGGTGGAAGGCTCATTTCACTATGTAATATTCTGTATTTTTTTAATTTTCACTCTGTTCATATATTACCTGATCAAATAAATTTTAAACATAGGTGATGTTATAGAATAATTATTAATGATATGAGTAAATGCTCACAACCAAAGAGTTTCCAGCACAGAGCATGTAGAATAATTATAATTTTTAAAAATTAATATTTATATTTATTAAAATAAAAGTAAATAAATATATTTGTATTTATTTTATGTGTAAGTAAATACAAATAGATAGGAAGTAAATCTATTGTAATGTCAATTGTGAATATATCTGTAGGGGGAAATTTTAGGTGATTTTTGTTTTCTTTTTTAAACTTTCTGCATTTCCCATAATAACTGTGCAATTTGTTTAAATGAAAAAAATTATATATTTAAATTTAAATACATATATTTAAAGTTAACAGTTATTTCTGGCAAAGGTACAAAGAAATAAGACTTCTCATACATTATTAGTGGAAGTACAGATTGTTATCATACTTTTTGAAAGCAACATGGAAAATGTTATAAAGAGCCTCAAAATATTTACACTCTTTGATCCAGTAAACCCACTTTGGGAAATAAAGCGAAGAATTAATTTTAAGCACACACAAAAAACTTTATGATTAACAAATTTTGTTGCTCTTTTTTCCTCAAATATGAAATTGGAAATACATTTGCCAAGAATAAGAAAATAAAATAGTCAAGTAATAGGTGAAAAATCTATTAAGTTGAATACTATAGTCACTTATAATATAGAAAAGTTTATTATATTTCAAAGATAAATTTTAAAATAATATAAATTAAATAATAAAAATAATATGAAAGATATATAATTATTCATAAAGAATTAGTACAACTCTGTAACAGTCATTTAGAAATTTTTCAAAGCCTGGAAAAAATTGAGTATTCAACACACTGCTACTAGTGGCTGTCTTTGAGTAAGCATCATAGAGAAACTTAGGTGCTAATGTGAGTTGTGGAACTAGACACATGTTTATAATTCTAAACATGCCGTTATGAGGTTTATCCATATGAATTTCTCTTTTTTGTAAATGAAAAGCCATTTCATGTAGTTCAATCTAATAGCTTGATGACCTGAGCAAGGTACTTAATCTGAGTCTCAATTTTCTCATTTGTAAAATAGGGATAATTACCTCTATTAGGATTGATTGAGGATTAAATTGAGCAAATAGAATATATATGCAATAAATGATAGCTTTTGTTTCCCCAAATGTAAGAAAGGTGTATTATTTTCCCAACAGAAGAAAATAATAGCTGTATAACCTTTTAAATTTTTTTTTAAGGTTAATAAGAATGAAGAAATGGAAATGGGAGGTCAAAAGCTTTGGTTTTCCACGAGATCTGAAATGGAGGGCTCAAATCTCAAAAGTGAGAGGACAGCACAATGGGAGATTAACAAGAATGGGGAATGAAGTGGCTGCAAGAAGCCAAGAAGAAAAGGACAAGGAAATCAGACATGGATACCCAGAGCTGGCCCAGAAAAGCAAAGTGAAGTCAAAGGGAAGAATAGTGGCTGGGGCCAGGGCCTGAGGGACTCCTCTCAAAGCTGTGTGTTTGCAAGCCTAGAGGAAGTAATGCCCCCTCACTGGGGCTCTTCTCCCAGGATAATGGTGAATTATGTGATTAATGAGTGATTCACATGCATTGCAAGTCCACGCCCCTCACAACATTTTTATAGTACAAACTTAGCTATGAGCCTTATCAAAAGCAGTGACACTTTCCATTCGATCTGGGATTTGGCCAGGCTAAAATGATCTTTGGCGGACTCAGTGCCACTGGAGCCATCTCGTAGGCCAAAATAGTGGGGATGACAAGAAGGAGGGGGCAAGAATATCAAGGTGCAAATGGAGAGGCCAAGGTAAGCTGGAGGCCTGGAGTGGGATGTAGGGATGAAGGGTCTCACTTTTTCTATTCTCTGAGTTAACAGCTCTTGGATTTGCAGATTTCCAGGAGCCTTATGGATATCATATAGGCCAATATGTAGATTCTGTTGCTAACATATGTGTGCCAGCGCTGGAAGAAGCTGTTCTTAAAGAGGTACAGCCATTTCTTAGAGAAGACCATGACCACCAGCAGAAGGAAGGCAACCAGGCTGAGCTCTGAGGCCAGCACCTGCACCTTCCAGTAGGAGCTGTGCGTGATTCTCCATTGCAGGGACAACAGAAAGTCCCAGTAGTACACCCTCGGGAACAACCTTTTTCTGTTGGGGGTAGAGATGGAGTTCCACAACCTCGCCTCAGGCTCACTGCCAACCCCTCATCCTTCCCAACCCTCCCCTTTCTTTCCAGGCTTCTAATGCTCATCACTTTCTCCTGATCCAGAGAACTCACTCCTAATATTTCCTGTTTCCATCTTAACCAACTGTTCCTTCCCTTGCTAGGCTCAGTTGTCCCTCATCTTCTAAATATTTTCATCAGGCAGAGCAGTAGCCACCACAGGGCTGGGTACCTGGGAAAGAACAACTCATTCAGCGGGACAGGGCCCCTAACTGCCATGGAATATTCCTGAGAGGCAGCAAATGGAAGAAGGGGCCCACAACTCCCTTCTCAAAACCCTGCTCCTCAGGTCCTAATTCAGAATTGTGGCTCTGTGGCTTCCCTTCACCTGAGAGCAATGGTCTCGGAGGGTCTCCTCTTCTCTTTCTATTTCCTCTGCCCTAACCCTGAGCCTAAATGCTCACTAGAGGAGGGAGAAGCAGCTTGTTTCCAGAAAAACATTTGGAAATATCTTCCAGATGCGTAATCAACCTTCTCACTACTTCCCCCAACCCCTTCACCTCTCTCCCACTACTACTCACTTCTGGTTAACAGTTGTCATTCCCTTCCCTCTTCTGTCTTTCTTTTATCCTTCCTTTTTTCTCAGCACCAAAAGTGGGGAGGACATAGAATAAAGACAGGGTATATAGGAGTCACATAGTCTGAGGAGATTTTTCTAACCTCTCTTTTTAAGTTATGTTAAAAGAAATCTATGTCACCTGTGGCAGCCCAATTATAGTGGCTTCCAGACCTGTTAGACACTGGAATTCTCATGAAGAGAAAGCCTTTCAAATTTGGGGTATGAGTTTGAATCCCACCAGAGTTGGTTTACTTTGTGGAGACTGTGATACAAGTGATTGAAAACCCCAGGCTTTAGGGTCCAACAAGCAGAGGTGTGAATAATGGGCCTTCCTCTTAATAGCCTTGTGAACCTGGATAAGCCATATAGTCTCTTTATGCCTTGGTTTACAGGGACACTAATACTTGTCTCAGTCTTGGTTTAAGTGTTGAATGAGATAATGAACAAAAAGCATTCATTGGTTCATAGTAAATTCCCAGAAAGTGGTACTTATTATTATTAAATTACAATTTAATTGTTTTGCACTCTTTCACTAGCAAACAGAGAAGGAGCACAGAGGTTTGTGGCAGATATCTTTGCATATTAATGGCTGCGAGTGATGGAACAGAACCTAAATTAATTTAAGCAAAAGGGGAGTTAATCATGAATCCTGAGGTCATGCGCACACCTGGACCTCAAGAATGATTGGAATCAAGAATTCGGACACTGGAGATTCAAAATCATGATGCTGTCATGGTTGGCATAGTGGAGTGAAGGCCTACTTCCAAGTTACAGACTTTTTGCTCTGTCTTCACATGGAGCTAGGGAAGCTCTGTGGGCTCTCTGTTATAAGGGCACCAATCCCATTCATGAGGGCTCCACCATCACAATATCATCAGTTTTCTAACATATGGATTTGAGGGAACACAAGACATTCGGACCTTAGCATTCTGACTCTGGTCTTGCTTCTCCTTGAACATCTTGCTCTTCTTCTGCAGACTACCCTCTTCTTCATCTCTGGTCCACATTGTGAGACACCCAGAATATTCACCATTGGCCATCAGAGCAGAAACCTCTCAGTCTCAAGTCAAACACTCTTTGGCCCTTCCAGAGACAAATATCATCCCTGGAACAATCCGCCATAGTCAGGGGCACCTTGGTCTGGAAGCTGACCCATGAACTAATGAGAGAAAGAGAGTTGCTGGATAAATTCTCTAGCTTCCTCGGCCATAGGCTAGGATAACTCTGATGAATGTTCTGCACCAGGAGGGAGTAGCACTAGAAGATGGGGTGCTGAGGCTCCTGGGAATGTCATTCATGCAGAGCTAGTGATCATCAGGATTTTATTTCCTTCCTTAGATCTGTTTTAGTTTTTCCTGGAGTTTCTAAGTGTTTCTAATCATAACAAGCAGTTCTAACAGCAAAACAAAACACTATAGAAGAATCTTGGAAATATAATGTTTCACGAAAAACATAACACCCAAAAGACTACACCATAAATATGAAACCATTCTTATAGAGCACAACTTAACAAAACATTTATTTACACATACATGTTTTTTTTTAAAGTAGTGGAATGATAAACACAAAATATAATATAGTGTCTATTTCTCAGAGGAAGCAGGGGAATAGGACAGGGAGGATTACAATGGCACATACATATTATTGGCAATAGGTTATTGGTTCCTGATCTGAGTGAAAGGTACACAGGTATTCATGATATTAGAAGCATTTATAACTAACATATTTCATATAATCCTGTGAATATATCAAATATTGTTTTTCAAAGGTAATTAAAAATAGTTCAAGAAAGGAAATGTAATCTTAGTGATTACTAGCTCTGTAATGAAAGATATTTCTAAGTCACAATACATAAGCTAAACACTGTTAACTGAGTTTCAACTTTTAGAATCAACAGATGGACAAAGCACGGAAGACTCAACTACAGCTACAAAAGTAAACATAGTTGTTATCAGTCTTGAGATTGTCCAAGTAAAAGCCTAGAAGAGGTAAACTGGAAGATGAAAAGAGGAGACGAGAGCTGAAAGGAAGGATGGGGGACCTGACAAAGGGTCTCCACATAAGATTGTGCAGTATGTGCACTGCACAAGAGTGCTGAGGGGGTGAGTGAGAACTGAACTCCAGTCTGCGTTTTGCTTGACAAATTAAGCCCCTCTAAGAGACCTTCATTGGCCTAGAGGAAGAGGCACTTTATTTTATATTTCGTAAAGGTGCTTCTCTGCCCCCCAAGTCAGTTACCACTACATCTATTCAGAGGGGCTATCTTTTAACCCCAAGGTTAAAAGCACAAAAGTGCCTTATGGGCTAGCAGCAGTTCTAAGCAACTATCTTGTAAGGCTGTGTATCAGTGAGAATTCTTTGGTTGCAAGCTCAAACCTAGACTAAGTTAGGCAGAAAAGAATCTATTGGGGCAATACTGAGTAAACACGGACTCAAAGAGGAGGCTGAACATCCAGGCCTAGAACTAAGAAGAAATCAAGGGAATGTGGGAAGGTGGATGTTCTGACTGATAGTCCACCAGAACCAAATGGACTTAGGGAGAAATAGTTTCTCAAAAGAAAGAAAGCCAAGCATTCAAAAAGCAATGATAACTTGCTCACACAGGTACGTAGTGCAGTCAGAATGGAGTGCAAGCCTAAGAGTTTTCTGAAAAGGAAACTGCCCACTGTTCCATTGGTAAGGACAAGTGCCTGGACATCCCTCATAGGATGATAGCCTCTCAATGACTGGACAAAGCCAACCCGTGGAACATGGACTTGGGTTTACACAGGCTTATTGGTCATTCCTTGATTGTCCATGTGAACTAACTTTGCTGCCTGTATGGCATTCAGAAACAGTCCCATGTCAGGACAGCTCACCCCAGAACACACGCCAGTGGTGATCTCCGTTGCAGTGAACTCCCAGTAACAACTGAAGTCTATTGAAATGCACCATCAAGCTTTGAATGAAGCTCTTCCTGAAGACAATGTGGAGTTCAGTATCAAAAATGTGTCTGTTAAAGATGTTCGTCGTGGCAATGTGGCTGGTGACAACAAAAATGACCCACCAATGGAAGCAGCCAGCTACATGGTTCAAATGATTATCCTAAACCATTGAGGCTGAATTAGTGCCAGATATGCACCTGTGCTGGATTGTCACATAGCTTACATTGCTTGCAACTATGCTGAACTGAAGGAGAAAATTCATCATCATTCTGGGAAAAAGCTGGAAGATAGCCCAAAGTTTTTGAAATCTGGTATGCTGCCATTGTTAAATGGTTCCTGGCAAGCCCATGTGTGTTGAGAGCTTCTCTGATTAACCTCCTCTGGGACATTTTGCTGTTTGTGACATAAGACAGTTGCTGTGGCTGTCATCAAAGCAGTAGACAAGAAGGCAACTGGAGCTGGTCACCAAGTCTGCCCAGAAAGCTTAGAAGGCTAAAAAATATTATCCCCAATACCTGCCACCCAGGTTTCAAGCAGAACAGTCTTAGAACTGTTGGTCTCAATTGGTCATTTAAGTGTAATAGTAAAAGACTGATTAATGATTAAAATGCATCGTAAAACCTTCAGAAGGTAAGGAGAGTGCTTTGTGAACCATTTTGGGGTTAGCGTGTGTGGCAGTTTTTGTTTTTAAAATAAGCACTTTTTAATAGAAACAACTTGACCAAAAATCTGTTACAGAATTTTGAGACTCATTAAAACAAAGTTTAATGAGAAAAAAATAAGAAGAAAATAAATCACTCAATTTATAAAAGGCCAAAAGATTTGAACAGACACTTCACCAAGGAAAACATTCAAGTGGCCAATAGGCACACGAAAAGATACTCAGCACCATTAGTCATTAGGGAAACACAAATTAAAACTACACTTAGATACCACTACACACCTATTAGAATGGCAAAGAAAATAAAATTACTTTTCTGGGTTTTTATGTTGTTCCTTGTGTTTGTCAGCTTTTTAAAATAAGTGATTTGTTAATTTTATCATTCTAAATAAAAAACTCACTTTTGTACCTAATTTTTAATTCATATTTTGTATCTTTTCTTTAAAAGGACCGCATAAAACCTGAATTCAACCCCAGCCCCCTCCCACACAAGGCAGCTTGAGATTTCCAACCTGTGCAGAGTGGGCAAAGGCTTCCAAAGTGAAGAGGAGGGTGATTCCAAGGCCTGGGGACAGGAAGGTAAACAGATTAGTGGAAAAGAGAAAATAGAAAATTGGGGCAAGGAGTAATGAGATGGGACTCCAGAAGTCAGTGGGTAGAATGTGGAGCAGTTTGAGCTTAAACACGAAGGCAAGACTGAACTATCAGAGACAGGCATGCGTGCAGAGAAGAATGGAAAACGCCAACTCCGCTTGCGATGCTTGGGCGCTGAGCTCGGAGATGACAAGTTGGGTCCGAGGTCAACCAACCAGCTAAACGACAGCCCTGGGCCTCAGGAAGGTCGGCGGGTGAGTGGGATAGTAGGAGTAGAAAGGAGAAGGGGCGCCCAGCACTCGCCCTCAGGGCGGGCGAGTCGACGCGCAGTTGACTGTAGTCGCAGAGCCTGCGACTCAACGTCTTAAGGATTCCTCCACGGGGCCGCGGGCCTCTCCAGCCCTGGCTCGCGTGGGAGGCGAGCGCTGAGAACCAGCTGAAGCAGCTGGGCCAGAAAGCGTGCCAAGGCCGGGATTTGGAAGCCCGCCTCGCCTAGCAGATCTGGGTCCACCTAGGACAGTGCGAGGGGCGCAGGGCGGAGAGAAGGGACAGAGCCCAGCCTGGAGGCGGGGCCAATCCTAGAGGGGCCAGGAGGGCCGGTCATGCCCCTGACATTGAGGTGTGTCCAGGCTGGGTTAGAGTGAATTGTCCGCGAGTTGTACCCTTTTACTCCCGTCGCTCCCGCCCATTTGAAGAGGGCGTGCTGGGGAGCAAGGTCGGGGCAGCCTTCCGGTTTCACCAGTCTGGGGGAGGAACTGTCGGAGGAGACGTACTCCTGCATGGGATGGTGTGCCTGCCTGGTAAACTGGCCATATCAGAGAACAGTAACCAGAAGATATCCCGGTAGCTGAAGAGAGAGGCGAGCCGTGCGAAAGAGGGAGGAAAGAGAAAGAAGGAGGAAAGAGAAAGAAGCTTTCAGGAATAGACAGAGCCTGACGGAAGGGCTCTGGAAAGGACCACAGAAAGTGGGCTAGAGGATCTGTGGGGCTAGAAGGAGAGGGAACAGAGTTAATGAGCAGGCTGCAGGGAAAGGCGAGGGAGGAGGAACTCCTCTCATCCATTTGTTACTTGTGGTCATGATTGCAACCCCCCTCAGATCACCGGCGGTAATGGCCACAATGATATTGTCCCAGAGACCATAGAAGGACCAGCGCAAAGAGGGGTCAGTGCCCTGACCTATCTGTATTTATCATTGACTCACCAGAGCAGGGCTGTGGGTGGAGAGAGCATATACTGACTCAGAGAGAGAGAGAGACTCCCAATGGGGCCCAGCTTCCCCAGGCAACTCCCCTAGACATCTGGAAATCCACCACCCCCACTGCCTTAGATCCCTCTGTAACTATGAGTGGGCCACATGCTAGGGCCTTGTGCCTAGTCTCCAAGCCCAGTTCCCAGAAGAACTGACCTCCACTCTCAAAGAATTCCTTTCCAACCAGTCCCATGCCCCTGCCCCCATAAAGCCACATTTAGAAACTACTGTTCCTTTAAGTACACAATGCCCCAAAGAGGCTCATTACAGCTCCACCAACATTTATTGAGGGTTTTTCATACGCCAGGCACTGTACTAGGTAAATCTCCAAAGTCATGAATATTCCATACGCCAGTGCCTTTCTCCCTCTGAGTCTCCCAGAGTTCTTTCATTTCTGTGGTCAGCATGGCAGCTTCTGTCCTGGGCAAGTTGTTATGCATGAGCTGAAAGGAAGACCTTATGCCAGGCCTGAGCTCCACTCGCCAGCCACTATCTGCTCCACTCTGTCTCCATCCTTCATCTCCTTCTGGCATCGTATGGGGCAGTTCCTCATCCGGAAGCAGATATTCTGGATGAGGATGGGCAGTAACACCGCTCTCTGCTCTCTGCCCACTGCTTGGTCCAGTGTTTCTGTGAGAGCACCAGGATGAAGGCAAAACCCCAGGAGGCTCACCAGTCAGCCCATGATCCACAGTTCCATTTCTTCACCCAAACTTAGGGGTCCAGAGCCAGTCTGAAGCCCAAGGCTGAGGCTGGTTGACTGATCATAGTTCAGTTGGGCAATTTGCAGGCAAAGATTATGGACGCCAAGCTCTGGGACAAGGAGAAGGGCCTGTGGGCTTCAGGGTGCCTCAGACCCCAGCTACTGGCCATCTTCAGTCCCTCAGGCCCCTCTGCCAGGATGCTTGGCTACTCCGTAATATCACTCTCTGACTGTCATGGAACCCTGGCCTCCAAGAGACTCAGAACCCAGGGCTCTCATACTCATCTCTGGCATCTGGCTGCCAAGCCACACCCAGTACATTCTCCTCTGGCACTCAGACCTAGTGTCTTTCTCAGAGAGAATAATAGTTCTCCCTGGGTGAACTATTATGGGTGTCGAGGGAAGAAATGGACTACTCAATCATCTGGGAGGGGAACAAGATAACACACCATGTCCACAGATACATACACACATATATGCACATGAACACACACACGCTCACAGATCCTCTGAGAAACACATTCTAGATTCTTCTGAAAGAGAAGTGGCTTGAGAGGACACAGGAGGCATCCAGGAATGGAATCTAACACTTTCTAGACTCAAAGGGCAGGACTGGTCTTTGCTGTGGAACCAAGTAGGGTCACTATTTATCTCTTGGGTCCAGATCACCATCTTCTTTGGCTGGATGGGTCCCTGCCAATTGCTGTTGGCTATTTTAATCCTAGGACTTTATCTCCAATGCGGCTGTTTTTAACTGCATCGACCTAGCTTCATCTTCCTAGGCTATGAGCATGGCAGGCATACTCATTGGCCAAGGGCTCAGCCAGTTCCGCACCCATTAGCCGCTCTGCACTAAGCTTCTGTCTCCATTGACAACACACTCAAGCCATCCTCATTCTCTCTCATTGCTTGGGCTCAGACAGTCGTGTTTGCATTGGCTGCCTTGTCCTGAAGCTTGGTCCCTATTGGATGCCACTAGAGGTAGTGCTTCCACTGACAGCTAACCCAGTGAATGGATGAGCTTTGTCCTCTCCATGCCACACCGCCAGCTGTCTTAACTTGTACCCCCTCCCCAGCCTGCATTAGGGTTGGGGGGCACTGGGGTTGCTTGAAGAGGGCCCAACTGCCTCAACGAGCCTCTGGTGCTGGCGAAGGTGCTTCCTCCTTTCGTGTTCCCCTGTGACTTCACACACCAGCTGGGCAGGGAAGGCCCCAGGAAGTCCCTTTAGCCAGCCTGTAGAAAGAGAGAGAGGGGCCTCAGTGGGGTCAGGGCAGGGGACAGGTCAGAAGAGAAAGGAAGCACCCTGAGGTCTACTGTCTTAGTGTCATGGTGAATGTAGGAATTAGTAGAGAAGCCTGGAATCATTGATAGAAAGGCCATTGGAGGTGGAGGTGACAGCAGAATCAAAGAGGGTTGGGGTTACTCCTCTATCAAGCCCTGCAATGGCTGCTCATCTCTCTGAGCCCAAGAACCAGGGTCCTTACAGGGACCTACAAGGGCTCGCATGATCTAGTCCCCATTATCTTTATGACCTCATCTGCTTCTCTCCTGTCTCCTCACTCCCTCTAGCCACAGTTGCCCCCTTACTATTTCTCAAACACACCAGCCACAGGGCCTTTGCACTGACTCTTCCCTCTAACTAGAACACTCTTCCCCCAGATGCCACATGCCTAAATTCCTCACCCCAGTTGTCATTGCTCACATGATGCCTCCTCATCAAGGTGCCCTCAACCTTCCTTTTTAAACCTGTAGCCCACCCAACCCAAGGACTCCTGACCAGCTTGACTCTGCTCCACTTTTGTTTTTCCACAGCACTTATCACCTCCAGACACACTATATATGATTTACTTATTTATCTTGTTTATTCTTTATTGTTTTTCCTCTGCTAGAATGTCTGCTTCAGCAGCACAGGAATCTGAGTGTTTGGTTCACAGTGCCTAGAACAGAGAGCGGCACCTCACAGGTGCTTAATATTTATTGATTGAATAAATAAAAGAATCTCTCACCTTCAGGGCTCTTGTGCAGGTGCTTTGGGTGAGCCCTGGACTCCAGACTCCGTCCCTCGGTCTTGGCTGGTGCAGAAGACTCTGAACACAGATCCTGGGAACAGTCTGCTTAAAGGTGGGAACAGTGGAATCAAGACTTTTTTTAGCTTCTCCCCCATATTTCCCTTAAGATTCACTTTTCCTTGTCTCCTCCCATTAGGCGTTACTCACCACAATCCTCATAGATGGTATCTGGGGAGCAGGGAAGGGGGCCTGGGGTGGGGAAGGCTCCCAGCCAGCGCTGCATGTCTGATCTGGTAAGGACAGAGGGAGGGTCACAGTTGGCCCAGGAGATCCTACTAGGAGTTAAGCAGGGGCCACGGAGGAGAAATATTGGAGAAGAGGGTAGTGGGCTCTGAGAGGTCAGGTGGAAGTCCCAAGGGTGTTTTCTGAAGGAGACACAACTCACAGGGACGAAGCTTGAAGTAGCCGGTGGGTAGGGCGGCCCTGGTGGTTGCTGAGAAGGGAAAGGCGGAACGTAGGGGGTCCAGATGGGTCTGGAACCTGTTGGGCCTGAACCAAGGAGCGATGGGCATAGTCCAGAACCTGTAGCCGCTGCCCACTGCCCAGGGAAGAGGGAGTTCAGAGGGAGAGCAGAAGTCCAGCTAGACTCCTCCTCTCCACCCTTGCCTGGGTTCCCAGCCTCCCTGGGACACACCTCTTAGGCTGAGTGATGAGTAGCAGGTCGCTAAAGAGCAACAAGCAGAGGGGTGTGAAGCGGGGGCGCGAGGTGAAGAGCACGCCTCCCCTCCGGCACACTAACTCCGTCAGCTCTCCCTGCAATTCCAGGCGCCTTGACCAGGAAACCAGAGGCAGGGCCTGTGAGGAAGCAGGGAGGAGATTCTGGCCTCTTCATAGCAGCACCACCAGTGGGGAAAGGAAAGGTGGGGAGCCTGGGCAGAAACTCACCTTGACTTTGTGGAAGCGCAGCCTCTGGGTGAGCCGGATCAGCTCCTCAGTCTGCTTCATGCGCCCCACCTCGGCACTGCAACGCTCAATGATCTGGGTAAGGGGAGCTGAGTCACCCACCCCTACTGCCTTCCTCCCCTTCCCTCTCTCCCTACCGCTTCTTCACCTCCTCTGGCCTCAGCATCCCCATGCCCACCTTGCTGACAGCACCCAGGGCCTTCTGGGCATTCTCCTGGCGGCTGGACCCCTCCTCTGTCTGGTGCAGGATATTCTGAGGACAAGGAGGAAGGATATTATGCAGCCCTGGGATTCAGAGGGGCTACAGCGCAGAAAACCCTTGCCTGGCTTGAAAAAGTGCTCACTGTGGAGTTCACAGGGCTGAAGGACCAGCTTCAACAAGGCTGAGAGACCTCTCCACTCACCATCTGCAGAACGCTGAGCAAGTCATGTTACTTCCCTGAGCCTCAGTTCCCCGTCTGTAAAATGGGAACAATACCCACCTAGCCTACCAATAGCAATGTTGTGAGGATTCAGCAAGGTAATATATGTAAAATACTTAGCACAGTCCTTGGCGCATAGTAAATACAGAAAAGAAGGTTGCTATTATTTTAATAATTATTAATAGCACAGTGGTTAAGAGTGCCTGGACTTAAAATTTATCTCCATCAATTATTACTTGTATGACCTGCATCAAGTTATTTAACTTCTCTGTGCCTCAGTTTCCTCATCTATAAAGTAGAGTCGATAATAGTGTCTACTCTCATACAGTCATTGGTAAGTTTAAACAGGTATATAGCATGTAGCACCATGCCAAGAACAGAGCATTCAATAGCTATTTAACTATTAAGGTTATGATTATAGTTATCTTGCCTACCCTGGGGATATATAAAGCTGAATAAGACATAAAGACACTGACCATCTGGTTGGAAACTCTTCACCTTGAGATCCCCACACCGGGTGACCTGGTTTAGGGAGAAGTTTCTACTCTGCAATAGAAGAGTGTTTCTTAACCTTTTCTTTTTTCCTTCAGTATCACCCTGCTATGGAACTTTTTTAGAAATTTTAATACCACAGCTATACTATATATCTATTTATGTATTATGGCCCTTTGAAGTATCATGACCATTGGAATATTTAAGATTTTTTCCACCCCTTGAAGAACAAATTTTTGCCTCCTTGGGGGTGATATGACTGACCCCCATTGGGGAGGCTTGCAGAGAAAGATACAGCTGAGGAGACCTCAAAGACCACCCACAACATTCTCCCTAAGACCCCGAGAGAGAAGGGAATTTGCCCAAGGTCACTCAGCCAGTGGCAGAGCCAAGTCGAGAACTTATGTCTGTAGCCCGAGGCTCTTTTCCTGAACCCAGATTGCTCCTTGAGACATCTGGGTAGCTCCAGGCAAGGTTTGGTGGGTCCTAGATGAAGAGGCTCATATTAGGAGGTCTAATTTAAGGGAGTCGTGTATTCATGGTAGGGTAAGAGGTGGTGATGGCCAGGCAGAAGGCCCCAGGAGAGTTCTCCAGCTGGGTTGGTGAGGCAGAAATGGCCCAGGCCAGAATAGTACCTGCAGCAGCATGCGGAGTCGCGTGATGCGCTGAAAGGGCAGCAGCAGAAAGGACGGCAGCGGGAGCCTCTCGCACTTGGGGAGGCTCTGCAGCCGGCGCAGCTCCGCGGAGAAGCGCATATTCGTGTCCCTGCAAAAGCAGACCTAGGCGGCTGGCATCTGCCTCAAGGCCCTGATCCCCCAGCCTCCCTTGGCCCGAACCCCAACTCTGCCCCCCAGCTTCCTCCCACATGTGTGACCTGCCTCTGGGACACTCACATAAGGCGGCTGTAGGTCTCCTCCTGATACTGCTGGTTCCGCACATAATCCACATACACTGAGAAAGGACCCACGGCATGGGCATGCACCACGTCACACAGGTCACTGATGTGGGGGGAAGAGCGCACACGGGACAATAATGTCCCTAGAAACCTGAAGGAGTGGAGGAACAAGCAATGAAGGACAGAAAACCAGGTCTCCTGGCTTCTTGAGGGATGAGCTGGACACTAACTGGGCCTATGGAAGTGAGGCCCTGGAATAGGCACTCAGTAAGTAGCCCAAGACATGGTTTGCAGAGAGGACAGGACACCACTGACCGCTCGCTGACTTCTTGAACTCTCTGAACATTGGAGAAGAGGGTGTGGTGATCCCGGGGGGTGAGCGTGTCCCTGAGAGCCTGGCTCAGCACAAAGGTGTCAGTCAGCAGCCGCAGGGAGCGCAGGTAGGAGGCCTCAGATGTCACCACCTCAAACAGACTCTGAGGAAGAAGGGCAGGGCTGTAGTGGAAAGCCCAGTTCCCAGCCAGTTCAAGGCCCAGGTCCCACTCCTCCCCTACACCAGATCCCAGGTGTGCCACCTCCTGCATGCGCTTTTCCTGGGGACCGAGGGTGTCCAGGAGGCCGCTGGCTCGCACAGCTGGAAGCTCCTGCCACAGAGTGTTGCGAGGTCCAGGGGGCCGGGCGAAGGTGGTAGTTTCTCCATGATTTGTTGGAGAGGGACCTCCATCATCACTGACTCCCCACAGCTCCTCTGACAGCACAGCTGCTCGGTAGGTCTGGTATAGGGGCTCTGGAGAACAAATTAGCACATCAGGGGAGTCCAGTGCCCCAGAATACTTCCCCTGCTTGATGGTCACAGCAGGGCCCTGAGGCCCAGAGGCCCTCACCATCCTGCAAGGGCAGCTCCCAGTTCTGCTCTTTTAGCTCCTCCAGTCCTTCTTCATCCCTGTGAAGAGAAAAAGGGATGGAGTCCCCCAGAGCCACTACTGTCGCACACCTCCAGGAGGTGCTATTCACATGACAGTGTAAAGGAGTACACAAGATAGTGTAAGATTGTATGCAGGGACACTGGAGGCTCCCCAGACCAAACCCCAGATTTTTTTTATGTGCCTGTTGTATGGGAGGCCCTGAACTAAGTGGACTCTCTCCATTCCTGTTATCTCAAATACCGTGTACCAGAGACTTCTAAGTCTGTATCTCCAGCCCCCTCGCATAGCAACCATTGTCTGGAATGTCCTATTTGTGCCTCAGTAAAACTCAATATGATCAAACCCAAACTCTTGTACCTCCCCACCACCTGCGGTTCTGTCTTTCCTGCTCTGGTCCTTGGCACCACCACACACCCATTCGCCCAAGCTAAAAACCCAGAAGAATGAACAGCAGTAAATATTTGTTAAACAAGTGAATGGGCTCAGATTAACTCTGGTGATGGTGGTGAATCTAAGATCGTTAACAAGCCCAGATGACGCAGAAGAGATGTTCGTGGTTGCCAAATGGACTTGCAGACAATAATTACAATAGAGGCTTAAGGCGGGAGGACTAAAATGGAGCTCTTACTAGGGACCAGCTTTTGACCAATGTCCTACATAACAATTCTATGAAGTAGTTGGTATGCTAACCCCCATTTCACAGATGAGGACGTGAGACCCAGAAAGGTTAAGTGACTTACATAAGGTCACATAGCTGATACAGGACAGAGCTAGAGCCCAGCCCTTCTTCGCTCCACCATTGTAGAGGTGGGGTTCAGCGGGACCTAAAGGTGAGTCTGCCCTCACATGGGAGTAAGGGTAGGGGGGTTTGGTACCTGCCCTCCATGGCTGTTGGAGGAGCATTCTGAGGAGCTTCATCCAGACTGTTTCCTGGAGAGAGAACTCAGAGTGAGAGAACAAACCTCCAGGATCCCCATCTGGGAACTCTAGACTCTGGCCCCAGCAGAGACTGATACTATAAAAACTATAATTCCCATCAGCCTCAAAGCGGCAGCTGGTGGAGGAACAAAAAAGCTCAGGGCCTGTTGGGGGTTACAGTTTGTTGGTTTTCAAAATGCTTCACCTCCACCCCTTCCCTTCCCAGCCAAGGGATCCACTCCCCCAGGCCCTGTACCTATTTGGATTCCATCTTCAGAGGGCAGATCAAGATCTTGTTGTGGGGGATCCACAGAGATGGTGGCATCTTGCTTGACCCGAGTTGGTTTCGGAGGTTTGAGAGGTGGCAGAAGTTTTCGCTCAGCAGTGGAGCGGTAGGAAGTGAGGACCACTGGGGGGTGACTGACGCTAGGAGGGTTGGAGCGGGAGCGAGAGGTCCGCAGTGGGGAGGCTCGGCAGGGGGCCCTGGGACCATCCTCATAGCCCCCCACAGGGATCCATCGAAGCTCCAGGCCAGGCCGGGCTACATGGCAGACACAGGGGCAGCAGGGAGGGCAGGTCAGGGAAGCATCTGTGGGAAACAGGTGTCCTAAGGAAAAGACCCTTGGGCCTGGCCCCACCCTGCCCAGACCTTCCTCCTCTTAACCTCCCCAGCAGTGAGAACATGGTCCAGCCCCAGGCATCTATCTCTTCAGCCCTGACTCTCTTCAAACCCCCAGAAATATGGAAATCAGACTTTCCAAACATGAAATACATTTTTGAAAAGGTAGCCCCTGAAAGTACCCAGGCTTAAAGCATTGAAAACATAGAGGATGAGCTGAATCGAGCCCACCCTAACCTCATGACATGCTTACCCGGACCACCATTCTCCTGGGATTCCCTTCCAGTGAAGATGCCCTGGGGAGTCTCTCTCTGGGTCTCTCTCTCCCCGTTCACATCCACTCCCCCTTGGGGAGCTGGCTCCATGGTATCTGCAGCCTGGACCTTGCTTTCAGCCCCCCACTCAAACCTACCAGCCAATCTCCTCACAGTGCCTGAAGCCGAGGCAGAGCCATCCTGGGCCAGGACGCTAGGGGCTGTGTGAGGCAGGGGCAGAGGTGTGCGGGGTGACCCAGAGGGTTTGGGTGGAGGGACTGGAGACCTGGGAGCAGGTTCTGGGGAGATGGAGCGCCGGGACAATGGACTGGGTGTGCTGGAAGGTGAGTCTGGGGAATTCTGGGAGTCGAGGCTGGCTTTAGAAGCTGAAGGGGGCAGAAGGGCAGGGGGCTTGAGGGACGAGGCTGGGGGCTCCCAGAAGATGGGGGTGGATATTGGGGTTGGTGCATCATTGGAGGTGATGGGAGGTTCTTGTGGAGAGGAGCCGTTGTGGGGGGGCCCTGGGGACTGGGCAGCCCGTGGTCGAGAGGGAGGGCGGGGGCGGATGATCCGAGGGGGCTTCTGGGTAGGCGGTGTTGCTATAGGAAGAAATTGGTCTGACATCTTCCTTTGAGCTCTTCAAAGGAGTGGGGTGCTCTGCTGGAGTCATCCCCTGAAGAAGAAGGAGGGAGAAAGAGAGACCCTTAGTGTTGCCCTCTGCCTTGCCATGGGTAGACTGAGGCCTCTGAGGAGAAATTGTTTGCAAGCTAATCAGCCATGATTTGGGAGTCAGGAGGGAAAGCTGATGATTAACTTCCTCTCTTTCCTTCTCATTTCCAGTCTTCTCTCTTTACTTCTCACTCCTCCTTCTCATTCCCAAGGTCCCCAGACCCTCCCAGGCAGCCTTTCTTGGCCCTTCCAGACTCTATTTCTCTCAGCCTTTCTTGGCCCTTCCAGACTCTATTTCTCTCAGCCTTTCTTGGCCCTTCCAGACTCTATTTCTCTCTGCTGCCACAATCAGGTCAGAAAAGACAGTGAGGTTGGGGTGGAGGGTGCCTTGATAGAGACCCAAGTTGTGGGGCAGAGTAAGGAGGAGAGGGTACAAGAGAACCTCATTAATGAGGGGAATTTAGAGAACTGGATCAGCGGAGACACCACATGTTTGCCTGATGAATTGTGTGTTGTGTGTCCATAGTGTGTGTTGTATAGGTTTGTATGTGTGGTTTAAGTATGTGTGGACACAGTGTCTGTGTGCTGTTTCTACTGCTATACGAAAGGGGTGTTGTAGAATGTGTTTCAACAGTATATTTGTTATGTGCTTACCGGGTGGATATGCAATAAGAGAGTGGGGTATACAGTATATGATAGTGTGTGGTGGGAGAGGGTGAGAGGGTTTATGTGTGTTATGTGCTGTCTGTATGGGGGTATGTGCAGTGTGTGTGCATCTGTGCACACGCACGCCCACGCCTGGGCTGTGAGGGATGCATCACTATTTCCCTGCTCCGACAGGCCCTCCGCCCCCCGTTTCCCAGTTCCTCTCTCCGGACTCTCCCTTTCCGGATTATTTTTAGTATCCTTTTCCTGCCATGAAGATTCCTGGAGCCTCTGACCCCAAGAGACCAGGAAGCCCATGGTATGGTCTCTTGTGGCCCATACTCTTATCCTTGAGTGCCCCCTACCCCCCATGTGGTCACAGAGAGAGAGACCCTAGTGGAAGCCTGGGGCCGGCCAGGATGCCTGAATGGTAGTGGGGAGACCAGACTGAAGGCGAGGACCAGTAGGGCCAAGACACAGGAGCCTAGGCTTTATTTCCTCCCTCTGGGAAGGCGGCTGTAATTCTGAGAAGACTGCAAGGTCAGGGCTGAGAGACTGGGGTGACCCCCAACTCTCTTCTGGAGTCAGTAGGAAAGTCAGACCCCACAGGCTCCAGACTAGGTTCTTGAGAAATGACTCAGGGTAGGGGCTGGGGGCTGTAGACTGTGAGTCTTACGGCTCAGTGGCCTCTGTATCCTGGCAGGAAGCCCCTTATGAAGATGACCCAGGTAGTGTCATCGTCAGCTGGCCAGCTCCTCCCCAGCCTTGCTCCCCTCAGGGATCCCACCCCATTTCTCAAGTACCTTCATTTACTTCCTTTCCCACCCCCAACTCAGACTTCTCACAGGGACCCAGGTACTCAGACCAAGCACTCACCCTTGAGTCCTCTCCACTCTCAGTCACCTCCCAGGGCTGAGTGAGTAGGAGCAGGAAACAGGAATCGGATCCTCCTCTCAACCGGACACCTCCCCCCTAAACGACACCGTATTCCACATGCGTGCACTGGGGCTCTGGAAGATGTGATGGACCCCCATGTCCTGGGTTTTGGTGGTTAATAGGGTGTGGGGAAAGGCTGGAACTCGGGTGTGGACAGTGGGCTGTTCTGTATGCGCATGTTCTGCCTGCATTGCTGTTTGGACAGGGGCTCACCAGCTGGGGGGGAACAGGAGTGGGGGTAGAAAGATGGGGTAGAAATGGCACAGGGTTGGACTGACAGTAGGACACCTCTGTATCAGCTAAGGAATGGTATGTGTGTTCTTCCACAGTGTGCCTATTTCTCCCACACCTCACGGCCTATTCCTTTAGCTTCCGACCTGTTTCCCTGGGTGTGAGCCAGCCCACTATTTCACACCGAAAGACCCCCTCCTCAAGTTTCCTCCTCCCTAACTCTGCAGTAGCTCCCCCTGGATTTACCTTTATCTTTTTGGAAGCAGTTTCTATTTTCAGCCTGTCCTGCCTGCCCGGGCGAGCAAGGAGTGTGGGGCCAGGTCTCCGAGTGTCTGTTCCTGTGTTTCTCAGGCGGGAACTGAGGGCCCAGATTGAGATCTCCACAGAGGAAGCCAGTTCCTCAGCCCCACCCGGCCATTGTGTCAGGCGTGCGTGCATGTGTGTGTGTGTGTGTGTGTGTGTGTGTGTGTGTGTAGAAGGGAAGGAGGAGGGGAGGAGGGGAGAGGTAGGGAGGTGAGGAGAGAGATCTGAGATCTGCCTCCTTCAGGAAGCTATGACTTTGTTGGGCCCCCTGCCTGCTCACCATTCTCAGTCCCTGTCTCTCTGGTCCCAGCCTCTGATTTTCCATGTCTCACTGGAAGGCTTTGATGTTCATTGGCTGGGATTTGGTACCCCTGGCGGGGGAGTAGCAGGGGTCCTTCTTACCTCTAATTTGCTCTATGGTTGAGGAGCTGAGTTCCAGGGCTAGGGGTGTGTGTCATAAAAACAACTGAGGGGGTGGAATGAGCCACACCCCAGCCTGGGAAGTAGGGTAGTGGGAGGAAAATTAGAAGGGCAGTTATGAACTCTTGGGGCCTTTGCCCACACCCAGGTGCCTGCATTTGCCAGACCTTTACACACACACACACACACACACACACACCCTCCAAACAAGACACTGGGAAGAAAATCCAGAAAGCTGGGATAAAAATATGTTTTAACCCCTTTTTCTTCAGAATAAACACCAAAGTCTTTACAATGATCAAGACCCTATACTATCTTCCCTCCTCTCTAACCTCTCCTCTTAAACACACTTCTGCCTCAGGGACTTTGAACTGGCTGTGCCTTCTGCCTGGAAACCTCCTCCCCAAGACATTCCCATGGATGATTCCCTCACCTCTTTTTAGTCATTGCTCAAAGGTCACCTTCTCAATGAGGCCTGCCCCACCACTCTTTAAAATTGCAACCCACAACTTCACACCACATTCCTGACCTCCCTTTTTACCCACAGCTATCATTCTTATAAAATACCATATAGCTTATTATTAAATTGGCATGTTTATAATTAATTATCTTTTACATTAGAGAGTAAGCTTCCTGGAGGCAGGATCTTCATCTGTTTTATTCACTGATGTACCCCAAAGTTCTGGAACAGGGTCAGAAGTATAGTGGTGCTTAATATTTGATGAATTAAACCAAATTGCTTTGAATCCTCCCCACAGCCCACTACTCCCCTGACTCTTCTTCCCTACAGATCATTTCCATAATTCTGTTGATTCCACCAATTTCCCATCACACACACACACACACACACACACACGTACCAGGCACCTAACCTCCGAGCCCTCAACTCTAGATCTTTCTGAGCTTCCTGGAAGAGGAATTCTCTCCAAGAGTGCCTCAGAGACCTTATTAAATAAGCTAGATATACAAATAAATCAGGTTTTGTATAGTTTTTATGGGAATATCTTTATTAGCTTTGCTACTTACAAAAATATTTTAAAAAGATAACTAACCAAAAGTGCTGGTTGTTAGCTGCAAACATGAGTAGCACCTGTACTGCATGAACCACCCCAGGTCTGAGTGGGGATGTTGGCAGAAGAGGAATTGGATAGGTTGGGCCACCTGTCCTCCTTGAGTTGTCTGAGCATATTTCCTTTTCTTCTCTCTATCCCTAAGAGACCCGCCTGAAGGCTTTTCACCTGTCTGTTGGGGAATAGACTTCCCACACTCCCAAAGTCAGGACAGCATATTTTGGGGAACGAGAGCTCCCTGGAGCTACAGTGAGAATGTTCTAACACTCCTGACAAAGAGGTTCCATTAGGCCCACTGCTCAAAGCAACCACAAAGATGAAAACCATAACTTTTCAGATCTATACAAATCACCATCTATTTATTTATGCCCTATCTCATTCCAAAAAGAAATTGAGCTCTGAAAATCACATCATGTTATATACACCAGATTATTTTTGCACATATTTATTGTACAAATATTTTTGCAAAGGTACTGAAGATTATTGATGTAATGATACATTCTCCTGCCATCTTCACAAAGCAGAAGTTTTCTATATTTCCAAAGGTGCCATTCAGTTTCAAGTCTGTATTCTGCCTTCTTCTCTTAGCATTGCTATATAACCATTTTTTACATTGCTACGTGGTCTTTCTAACTATACCTTTTCTGGGAACTTAATATTGCAAAATCTAGATTTTGCCATCCTGGTAATAGCAGTAAAAGTCTTCTAGGAAACTCTCCATCTCCCACCCCACTCCATATGGTTCTAGTGGAATGGCCAAACACAACAGACTCCTCGTGGCCACCTACAGGTTTGGTCAATCACAGTATCCCATTGCTTTGGTCACAGATATTGACCCAGGAATTATCAAGTCACTCAAGCCAGGACAGCCTTCCATCCTGGGGCTCTGGGAAAGAACAGCTTTATCTTCCCTCCAAGGTCACAAAGCAGGAATCTATAAGTCTGGAGCAATCTGTGTCTTAGCCTCTTTTCCCCACAATAAAAGAAACTAGTCAATAGTGGAAGAAAATGAGCCCAAACCCGAGGGAAGCTGAGCCAAGAGATGGGGGAACCTGACATCATCATTTGAGCCCCTTGGACTGCCTAGGTTCCCGAGCCACTGAATTCCCTATTGTGTTTAAGCTAGTTCAAGCTGGGTTTCTGTCACTTGCTGCTGAAAGAAGCTTGATCATTTTAATTCATTCCCTTGTACAGGATATTTGGGTAGCTTCTAGTTTTTGCCATTACAATTAATGCTGCAGTGAACATCTTTGTGCAAAACAAAACACTTTCAATTTGAAATATGATTAACACAGTAATCCTAGAAGCTTCAATGTGTTTGGTTTTGATTTTGCTTGAAGATTCTTTTCTGGAAGGATGGAGAAGTCCTCAGGTCTTTCTCTAACATTTCCTTACCTCCATATCAGATAGCCTTGACTCTTCTTCATTCACCTGATTGTTAAAGAGTTCATACTGGAGAGGCACTTAAATTGTTCCTTGAAAATCAGGTAGAGTTTGGACATGCCCACAGGCAAGGCATGTGTGACCATTTGAGGAAACCACAGAGGCATAGGCACAGTGAAGAGGAAACTAGGCCTATATGGAGAACTGTGAAAGGAAAGCTTAGCTAATATAGAGAGAGGTATGCGGCTGGAAGAACAAGTAGAGTCGATACAGTGGGCAACCCAACAGGGCAGAACAGACATTGAAGGTTTCTGAGTAGGGGTAGGGGAGTAGACAGACATAGTTTAAACCAGTTCCACACCTATTTCCCCCTCTTCTGGAACCAGCATCTAGGTTTCTTCTGGGGATCTATCCCTCCATCATTCTAGGTCCGCATGGCCCATTCTGGAGAGGAAAGCATAACCCAGAAGCAGCCAGTTAACACTTTCTCTCCTCCCTAACTACCAAGAATGGTTCAGGAATGAGTGTGTGACTAACAAGGCCAAAGCATAATCCACGTAAGACTTCTACTCAAATTATTAGAAAAGAGACTCTACTCTCTTTGGTAGATTGTTTTCAAAGATGGCTGCAACAATCCTTCCCATCATAAATGCCCTTTTGCAATATGGCTTTGCCACTTTTTCCATTAAAAGGAAGAATCTATTTCCCCTCCAATTCAATCTGGGCTGGCCCTGTGACTTGCTTTGATCAAGAAAATGCAAAGAAAGTGACACTGTTTGTTTGGGGCCTATGCCTTACAAGGACTTACAGCTTCCTCTCTGTTCTCTTAGAAGCCAGCTACCATATACAGCAATGTGGGTTATACTACTGAATGGTAAGAGGCCATGTGGAGAGAAAAGCCACTTGGAGAACCAAGATGCCCCAGCCATCATCTAGGTCTTAAGACATGTGAGCAAGGCCATCTTGGATTTTCCAGTCCCAGACAAGCACCCATCTGACACGGAGCAGCCCCACTAATCCCTGCCCAAATTCTTTATCCACAAACTCATGAGCAACAATATGGTCTGTGTTTTAAGCCACTAAGTTTTCAGTTGATTTATTATGCAGCAATAGATAATCAAAACACTCTCTACTGTGGATGCTAAACTGGTAGAAGATAGGCCTGGAGCTGTTGGTAGCCAACAATGATGTGGCTTGAAAATAAAACCAACAAAAGGGAGAGGCATAGAGAGACGAATCTGAGTCCCTGATCCCACTGGCCTGAAGTCATATCTGTGTTTGCACTTTTCAGTTATGTGAGCCAATAAATTCCCTTTTTGTAAGCTAGTTTGAGTTGGGGTTCTGTCACTTACAACCAAAAAAAAAAAATCATTTACAAGGGGAGAAGATCTCATAATAAAAGACGTGTAGAGTCTATCTGGCTTCTGGTAGGGCCAGGACCTTGAACTCAAGTAGAATCCTTCATGGAGTATAGAATACCTGAGCCCTCTTTTCTGTCTAGAAAGCCATTAGCGGTAGGTAGCCTGCCTGTGGTGTGGAATAAACCAGGAAGCGGGCAGTAAGGAGAGGCTGGCCTGCTCTGGGAATCCATACATGTTCTGATCTAGGTAAGGATAGAGGATTCTGCCCAACTGTCACCAGGTGGAGTCTGAGCACTTCAGGTGTGGGGCCTGGAAGCCAAAATGAACCCATCATGTCTAGGCCACCCTAGGCAGAGGTGCAAAAGAGGCATAGCCCGGTGCCCACCACCAATCCTCTGACTCATACTCCTTCCACTCTCTGTAGTTCCAACTCTTCTCTCAGACACCTGGGACCCACCTTTGTGTTTCCCCTCTACTCTTCTCACATTTGTTTCAGGATATTCATGCCCAGGAAAAAAAGGTAACAACTTACAGGAATCAAGACAGCATAGTACTGGCAAAAGAACAGACACATAGATCAATGGAAGAAAATAGAGAGCCCAGAAACAAGCCTACACAAATCTAGTCAACTGATTTTGACACAGATGCTAAGGCAGTTCAATGGAGAAAGAACTTTTCTTAAAGAAAAGTTGGTGGAACAATTGGACATCATATGAAAAAAAAAAAAAAGACAAACGAATTTATACACAGACCTTACATCATTCACACTCAAAAAGATCATAGACCTAAACGTAAAATGTAAAACTATAAAATTTCTAGAAGAAAATATAGGAGATAATCTAGATCATCTTGAGTTTGGCAGTAAGTTTCTAGATACAATACTAAAAGCACAATCCATGAAAGAAAAAAAATTGATGTTAGACTTTATAATAATTAAAAACTGCTCTGCAAAAGACACTGTCAAGAGAATGAAAAGACAAATCATAGACTGAGAGTAAATATTTGCAAAACACATTATCTGATAAAGGACTGTTATCCAAAATACACAGATAACTCTTAAACTCAATAATAAGAAAACAACCCAATTTTAAAATGAGGAAAAGATCTACATAGACACCCCACTAAATGAGATATACAAGGGTATAAATTTTCAGCTGTAAGATGAGTAAGTTCTGGGATCTAATGTACAGAATGTCAACATTAACCACAATACTCTATTATATACTTGAAAGTTGTTAAGAGAATAGATCTTAAAAGTTATCAACACACACACACTCAGAAGGTAATTATATGAAGGAATCAGATGTTAACCTTATTGTGGTAATCGTTTCAAAATATATGTGTATCGAATCTTCAAGTTGTACACCTTAAGATTACATATGTTATATGTCCATATCACAATAAAGCTGACAAAAAGATTACAGGTGGCAAAAAGCATATGAAAAGATACTCAACATCATTTTTTCACTAGGGAATTGCAAATTAAAACAGCAGGAGATACTAATACACACCTATTAGAATGGCTAAAATTAAAAAAAAAACAAACTGATACAACCAAATGCTGATGAAGATGTAGAGCAACAAATCTCATCCGTTGTTGGTGGGAGTGCAAAATGGTACAGCCACTTTGGCAGTTTGGCAGTTTCTTATAAAGTTAAACATGGTCTCACCATTCAATCCAGCAATTGTACTCCTAGGTATTAACTAATTCGGAAATTGATGTCTACATAAAAACTTGCACGCAAATAGTTCTAGCAGCTTTATTCATCACCAAAAACCGGAAGCAACCAAGATGTCCTTCAACACATGAATGGATAAACAAACTTTGGTACATCCATAAAATGAAATATTATTCAGTGATAAGAAATGAGCTATCAAGCCACAAAAAGACAAGGATAAAACTTAAATGCATATTGCTAAGTCAAAGAAGTCAGTCTGAAAAGGCTATATACCTTTAGATATGATATTTTGGAAAAGGCAAAAATACTGAAGATAGTAGGAAGATCAGTGATTGCTGGGGGGGTTAAGTAGGTGAAATACAGGGGATTTTTTTTTTTAGAGTGGTGAGATTATTCTGTATCATAATATAATGCATTTGTGAAAAATTCCTAGAATTTATAGCACAAAGAGTGAACGTAAATGTATGCAAGTTTTAAAAAATCATTTAGGAGGTATTCATAATAACTGCATTACAATTATTTAGGAGGTATTTGTAATAACTGTATTACAAATGTATGAAATGACTTTACTAAAAGGACTGGAGGGGAAAGGTGCTGGCCTAAATAACTTTAGAAATGATGGAGTCTCTAAGACTAAAGGCAAAAGGAACTGTACATAAGCACTGTATTCTTATTCATAAGGTGATTTCCCATGGGGCTATAGGTTAACAATTATGATACTCCTATACATGTATACTGGAAATAAACAATTAAGCAAGTGGACAGCAGATGGTAGGAACCAGTTTATTCACTGTTGGAGTGAGAGTTTACAGATAAGCACAGAGAGGTGGCTAGAATGATCCATGTAGTAATAAATTAGAGTTGGAGACAATAGTATGAACTCATGTTTAACTTAATATAGGTAGATGGTTACATATAGAAATATATATATAGATATATGGACATACATATGTTAGTATACATATTTAAATGCTCTTCCAGCTGAGAGGGCTAGAAGCAATGACAACCTAATAGCAACAAGCACACCCAGTGCCCAGACTTTGGTTTCTAATACCATTCTTCAATCACAGGATGAGAGCTTCTTGGAGAAATGGCTGATTCTAGGACTGGGGCAGGAAATATACAAAATGAGCCTGGAGCATTTTGTATTGCTCCAGAAAGTAAGAAAATGCTTTAAAATTTTTTTAATTAAAAAAATTATTGATGAAGCTATGTTAAAGAAACACAAAAATCAAGTAAAAGCACTCTCAAAGGTCAAAGCTAAAACAATTAGAGCAACAAAATAAAGTATATTTGATTTTAACCTAAAGAAAGTATACAATAAATATCCATTAGTCCATACTGATTGAAATGGTTCAGTGAATGAATAAATAAATAAAGGATACAAATCTCCCACACGGAATTCTAAATAATTTATGTAGATACTTCTGTCTCAAGGAGGGGGAGCCTAACTCTGCATACCTGAAGTGTAAGCTGTGCATAGTAACTGCCTTCCAAAGACTACAGTATGGAAAGGAGGAAGAAAGAATAACTTTACAATGGAGAAATTTGACAAACACTGTCTCAACCAGGTGATCAAGGTCAACATCAACAGTGACAAGTAATTTTGATAGTATGTATCTAGTAGCACCCTTGATATGTGATAAATGGCAGTTATCTCTGTGGTCTTCCCCCCCAAAACCTATAACCTCAATCCAATCATAAGAAAAAAATCCAATAGAGGGACATTCTACAAAATACCTGACCAGTACTCCTCAAAACTGTTAAGATTATCAAAAACAAGGATATATGACAATTAAATGTAATGTGGTATCCAGGATGGGATCCTGAAACAGAAAGAAAACTTAAATCAAAAATGAAGAAAATCTCAATAAAGTATGGACTTTAGTTAATATATCAATACTGGTTCATAATTCTAACAAAATATCATATTAACAGTTAATAAGAGAACTAGATGTGGGGTATATGGAAACATACATAGTATCTTTACAATTTTTCTATAAATCTAAAACTTCTAAAAATTAAGCTTATTTTTAAAAATAACACTTTAAAAGTGGCCTATCTCTAGGCCATCTAATGTTAAAGATAAAAGGCTTAAGCCAGTGATTCTAAAACTTTAGCACACATCAGAATAACCTACAGGGCTTGTTATGTTAAATAACATATTGTCAGGCCTCACTTCAGAATTTCTGGTGCAGAAGATAGAGGGTGGAACTAGAAAATGCACTCTTCTGATAAGAACCCAAGTGCTGTTGCTGCTGCTGCTCCAGGGATCACACTTTGAGAACCACTGGTGTAAAATCAAGGATTAAAACAATGAGTAACTCTCCTCCCATTCAGCAGGTGGAGGTATTTGGGGAGCACTCCCTGGAAATTTTCTGAGGATACTTCCAGAGCCCAGGAGAAGTCCCATTATCTCCTTTATCCTCCATCCTCCTGCCTCATCCTAAGACTCAGTATTAGTGAGATAGAAATGACTCAGACCAAGTTAGCAGGATATCCAAGAATCCCCAGTGTAGTGAAGGAGTCAGAGAGTAAACAATTGCTAATTAAAATGAGACATGTGGGTAAATGATTGAGAAGCAAAGCAGGATGGAAGTGGCTCAAAGAATTTGAAAAGCTTCAAGGGTCAGGAGAGATGAAGCTCAAAGTGCATAATGATTTGGAGATCAACAAAAGAAGTGGGCAAGGAAATTCAAATCTGGCAGGGAACAGAACACACAAGGACAGGGGTCCAACAGCTCTTGATTTTTCAGAAAATCTGAAACCTGAACACTTGGTGGAAGTCTAATAGTTTCACTCAGGTGTGTACAATATATAATTATCATTCCCATCTTACAAAGAAGATTCTGAAATGTTAAGTAACTTACTCAAGGCTTCCAGCTGGTAAGGAAGAAGAACCAAACTGGTTCTCAGAGGACGCTCTAAGTCTGGTGGCTGCCTCACATACAGTTGGGCCCTCTACCTCCTTCTCCAATCCCAGATGACATCCCCTATCCTCCTGGCTTTTCTCTCCAAGCCCTCTCCTTCTTCTCAGCTAGCTTCCCTAGTCTCTTCTCAGAACTTCTTCCATAATTAACCATTACCAGACTCTTGAGCAAGGGACAGGAGTCCAGATTCTCAGGATCTCTGCCACCACTTGCTGGCCCTGTGTATAAGTAACCTAAACCCAGGGATCTAAATCTCTGCCTTGGCGTGGCCAACCTTCTCCCCCAGGTTGCTGAGGATCAAAAGAAGTAGGGATGAGACTACTCTCCCTCGCGCCCTCTCCTGCGTGCCGGCAGACACACATATCCCGGATCTAGAACCTACAAATAGTTTATTCAGCCTCAGGAGATCCGTCGAGTCCAACAGGTGCATCTCATCTGCATCGCAGGCGGAGCCGCAGCCTCCGGCTATCCTGGCGCCAGAACCCAGCAGGGTGTGGATCTACAGTTGCGCAATTTCATCCGGCGATGAGCCGGGATAGAAGGAGCCCTCCGTCCGCAGGAAGAGCAGCCCCAAGCATTCTAACAGTGGACTGCTGCCTTCGCGTTCAACCTCTGCGCCCGCCCAGTACCCAGGGTCCAACCCCTCCCCGCCAGTAATAAAACCTCTGCACCCCGGCACTCCTTCCAGTGAACGGAGACCCTGGCCCTGCGCCTGAGCGGAGAGAGTTAATTCCAACCGCCCCTCAGCTGGTTTCGCGGAATGAGTCGTGGAGCCAGCTCGGCACTGATTGGCTGAGGCTCTTGGCCACGACTCTCCAAGGCTCCCCATTGGGTACCGCACGCCACTGACTGGAGTATGGCGGCCTGGCCGCCGCAGGCCATCTGGAGGGAAGCTGCGTCGGACTCCCTCAGCTGCCTGGAGAAATTCATTCTGGCTGGAGTCTCGACTTACTTCCGGGTTCCAGATCTCGTTGCTGTTCCAGAGACGCTACTCTTCTGGATCTTTTTCCTCCATAACTTGACGGGTTTCCCTTTTCCTTCCTCCCCGGCTCTCATTTCCCAGCTCTGCGTTTCCCTTCCCTACTTCCGGCCCCCCAGTAGCCGGCCAGTCTCAGCATTCCACCTGCCGGCCTCCTGGCTTCAGCCCCTCCTTGACCTCAACTCCTTTGACCTGTCATAACCTTCTCGCCAGACTCTCCTAAACCCCTCTTTCTACTCTTTGCCAGCTCCTGACTCCCAAATTTCATCGAACTTTTAACCTCTTGATATCCGCCCCTGATATTGTTGACTCCCGAGCTTTAAATTCCTACCTCTTAAAATCTGGACTGCTGAAACTGAAGTCTTCCCTGATTTCTGACCCCGTTTCTGAAGCTTATTTTGATTTTCTTACTCCTGGACCAGTTCTTGCTAACGCTACCCCACCATGGACTTCTTGATGAGCGGCCTGGCAGCCTGCGGGGCCTGTTTGTTCACCAACCCCCTGGAGGTGGTGAAGACCAGGATGCAGTTGCAGGGAGAACTGCAGTCCCCTGGCACCTACCAGCGACACTACAAAAATGTCTTCCATGCCTTCATCACCATAGGCAAAGTGGATGGCCTGGCGGCCCTGCAGAAGGGCCTGGCCCCTGCCCTCCTATACCAGTTCCTGATGAATGGCATCCGGCTTGGCACCTATGGGCTGGTTGAGGCTGGGGGCTACCTACACACAGCTGAAGGCACCGTCAACCCTGCTCTCAGTGCAGCCACTGGAGCCCTGACTGGGATCACTGGAGCCTACTTGGGAAGCCCTATCTACATGGTGAGAAAAAGGGTCTTGCCTGAGGCCTTCATTGTGGACCCTTGGTGTAGGATGGGGGCCTAGGCCTTCATAACCTGATACTGAGGTTGGAATTGGATTTGTGTGTAGGAAATGAGGAATTTGAGTAATACCGCAACAAGTATAGGGATCAGGGGAAGTCTTGGGCATCACAGAATTATAATCTCACAGTCTGCCCCTTTGAGTTATCTGGTTTGGGTGAAAAGTCTGTAGTCTGAGCCCTAGAGGGGAAGTGACAGCTCAAGGTTACACAGCTGCTTATTGCTAGGACTAGGTCTTGCTTACTGCAACTCCTAAAAAGACACTGAAAGGCAGTGAGTTCTGTAGAAGGAGAGGCAGTCTGGTCTCACTCCCAGGGTATGAGATTCAGGGACAGTGACATCTCCAAAGTCATCTCATGCTCCCATGAGATGCTCCCATGGGGCTCAGAGAACAGAGAGCAAGTTTTGCAGATGACTCCTCATAACCTACCCCAGAGTATGATGGTCGTGCTGGTGGCTGGATGTCCATTCTTGGAATAGGAGCTGGCACGAGAGGCTGGCCACCCAGGTCTTGCCTAACGAGAACAGTCTTAGGAAATGATTCCATTCTCCAATGTCATCATCCCCAACTCCTACCCACAAGGGAAGAGTGATGTAGAGGGAGTGGGGTGTCTTGCAGTGCTAGGAGATCCATCCTCCGGGACTGGAGCCATGGGACACAGAGTGTCACAACCAATTTGTTAAGTGGGAACAACAATAATTATTAGATTAAAGGATATTCATTGCTGAACACCCTCAAGGAAGCATGAGGGGGTCAGACATTTGGGTCTCTGAGGTAGGAGGATGGCCACTGGGCTATAGGTTGTAATACTCTCTCATTCTCAGGTGAAGACACACCTACAGGCACAGGCAGCCTCAGAAATTGCTGTAGGGCACCAGTATAAGCATCAGGTAAGGTGTTTCCATCCCCACCAGAGTCCCTGCCCATTTGTCCCCAGCTTTGTGCCTGCACCCAACAGCTCTAACCCAGCCATGGTTCTGCCCAACCCATCAATTCAGCCCTACTCTGCCCCTAAAATCCACCCAACCCCTCTCTTTTTCTCCCATGTTCCCCAGTTCCTCTAGTCTTCTGCACCTATTTCTCCTGCCCTGTTCTCCTAATCTGCTAATGTTCTCACATCTATACACCCTGACCATATTCTGGGATGGCGAAGGAGGGAACAACAGGGTGGTAGACAACTGAGGGACCACATTCTGGCACTAAACCCCACACAGAACTGGTTGTCTAGACATCCGATGTCTGTTAAGGACCCACCCTTGGCAGTGTTACGAGATGGCAGACCCTGATGCCAGGGTGACTGAGCCCCACTCCCATGGTCTTCCCCCAACCAGGGCATGTTTCAGGCACTAACCGACATTGCCCAGAAACATGGTCTGGTGGGGTTGTGGCGTGGGGCCATGGGCTGCCTGCCCCGAGTTTTCGTCGGTTCCTCCACCCAGCTGTGCACCTTCTCATCCACGAAGGACTTCATGACCCAGTGGGAGGTACTGCCTGGGGAAAGGGGTGGGACCACCCTGAGAATGTGGGCAGGGGGAGTGAAAGCTGAAGTGGGCACTAGAGGGGTCAGTGCCAACCTCAGTGTGAGAGAATAGCTGGAGGGCTCTCTTGTCATTTCCCCCCAGAAGGTGTATCTGAGTTCTTCAGTGTTATCACACGGTGTTATAACTGGTAGAGTGGAAGCTCCCTGAGTTACCAGCTCTCTGCTATCTCCCCAGAGAAGAACCTGTCCTTTCCTAGTATTGACTGGCTAATCGACAAAGCTCTTCTTCCCTACCCGCTTAGATATTTCCTCCTCAGAGCTGGAAGTTGACTCTGGCGGCCTCCATGGTGAGTAGCATTGCAGTGGTCCTGGCCATGACACCCTTTGATGTGGTCAGCACAAGGCTCTACAACCAGCCCACAGATGCTCAGGGCAAGGTAAGGAAGTGCTCTGGGGTACAGGCAGGCAAGGAAAGCCAGCAGGTGGGGAAAAGCAGATTGCTGGGTTCAGGTGGGACAGCTTAAAAGGCAGCCTGCAGAGGTGAGACCCCTGGTAAACTCTGATAAACTCCTTCTTTATGCTCTCCCTTGCTCTCAGGGCCTCATGTACCGGGGGATCTTGGATGCTCTGCTGCAGACCGCTCGGACAGAGGGCATTTTTGGCATGTACAAGGGTATCGGAGCCTCCTACTTCCGACTTGGCCCCCACACCATCCTTTCTCTCTTCTTCTGGGACCAGCTGCGCATCCTCTACTACACATACATCAAATAACAACCACTCTTCCACAATCCACCAAATTGGCACCCCTTGGACACTTCTGCCTCCATTACTATGTCCTGGTGACTTCTCATCAGGTGACCTTTCATCAGGAGGAGACAGCCAATCTCATTCCTTATCTGTTTTCTCAGGGTTGAATCACTACAAGGCATAGTTTCCCTCCCTTCCTTGAGTGTTGCTTTAAACCTTCTCTACCTGTCCTCCTGTACATTTCACACCCCTTCCTCAGGGCTAAACCAGTCACTCCAAAGTGTATTTCCTCCCCTTCTCCACTGCCAGCTTTGGATCCCTTCTGATCCCATGTACAACTTTAAACTCCTCCCTCTAAGACCAAAGGGAATTGGGGGGTCCCAGGTGTCCATTTAGATTCAAAGGCACAGAGATTATTTTGGTTATAAAGCAAGTTTATTTCTGCAGAGAGGTGTCTTATGTTTATGCACAGGGAAGGAATTTGGGTAATACATCCAACCCTTTGTTTCTCACCCAGAATACGGTCCAAAGTCTTTAGCAACACCATGCAGCATTTCATCATCTTTACTGGGGACCAAAGATGTTGGGATCATGAAGGGTCAGACTGGTCACAAGCTGTTCAAAGTCACCCAGGCTCCAGGGTGGAAGTGACAGGTCATCAGTGCCAAGAGATGACCTATTGTCAGGGCTTGAGAGTGGGGGAACAGATGGAGAGAGAACATCATTCAGGCCTCAAGTTTGGAAGTTCCCACTTCCTGTTCCCTGGAGGACCTGGGTATCTGTGACTTCAAACCTCTGGCCCACTCCCACTTCCTTGGAGGACCCCACCATTCAGTCTTCCTGCTCTCCCCCTCCCAGCTGATTCTCCTGGGGACCCCAGTCATGAGCCACATGCCCTTTCTCCTTACGGGGGCTGATTAAAGGTGAGCAGGAGATCAGTCTGGTACTGGGGCAGCCTCAGCAAGGCTTGGTGCAGTGTCACATCCTTTGCTACCTAAAAGGATCAGTCAGGATTCTTACCTAATCCCCTAGGGCCACCCCTTTTACCCCTCCAGGACATCTCACTCCACCGGCCCTTACCTGCTGGCACTCTTTAGCTACCTGCTGCTTGCCAGAGAGGACCCAGGCTTCTTCACAGCAACCCCTCAGGGCCAGGCTTTCCAAAAGGATGGGCTGTACAGCCTCCACTTGCACAGCCGTAGCCTCCTGCACCCCGCCAACGTCCTCAAAGTGGTACCTGTAGTTGAGGAAGTAGTGTCATGAAGGGGTCTCTCTCACCGCACCCCTCCCCCCTAAGCAAAGCTTTTGCTCACGTCTGGTGATTGATAACAGTTTTGCCCTTGGAGTTCTTTTTGCCCTGATTAACCGTCCAGCCAAGACCCCGCCCACTTCTTCGGGTCCGGCCCTTCCATTGGCCAGCCTCCGGCCTGCCTTCCTCACCTGGCAGCCGCTTCTCCTCGCACGTGGGCCTGCAGCTCTAGAAGTTCCACGATCAGGCTCTGGTCCGTCACCCGATGGCAGAAAATTTCTTGATTGTCCGGGACGGGTCGGAGGTCGCTGGAGGGTGGCAAAGCAAACCCTAGTTGACCCCGGCTTGGTTCCCCAACCCACCCGGTTGGCCTCCATTGGCGCCCAAGCTTTCTCACCTTATGTCAATGGCCCCGGGAGGGAGAGTGGCGGAGAAGGCGCCCCCGAACAGTGGATAGTCTCGCGTGGGTTCCATGGGCCTGAGACTAGGGTACGGGCATTAGTAAGATTTAGAAGAAACCTACATGAGACCATGTGGCATGACCCTCCAACGTTCCGCGGCAGCTACCTACGCCAGTGGCCTCCCTTAGCTCCTGGCCCTTTAAGATTTGGCCCCGCCCTGCGCCCGCGCTGGCCAATTGGCGCCTGCGCCTTCGGCCACCGCCCAAGTAGTGCTGCTCCCGGAAGCCACGCTCTCAGGAGACTGCGAGGCGGGACTGCAGGAACTAAATCTTCGGTTTAGGGTTTGTGACGTCCTTGTGGTCGTTAACTCGCACCCGGCAGTCTCCTTTTAAAAGGGTCACACATTCTAAGAATGTTGCCTGAGACATTCCTTACTTAGGGGTCGTTGCTCGTCTAAGGGACCAATGTCTAGGTAGGGTCTCAGAGTTAGGGAAAAACAGTTTCAGGGCCACCCAGCTCCCTTCCTCCTGGCCTCCTAACGGCGAATGAGCTGCCAAACAGGCCGCTAAATCCCGGATCAGATGCAGCGATTTAAGGGAACAATGGGGCCAGGTGTGGGCCAGGTTAGGATTCAGTCCTCACGCCTTCCTGAAATGTAGACCCAACCCCCGGGATTATATATCTAATCCCGCTCAAATCTTTGCTTTGAGAATGCAGTGAGGGAGTGGGAACGAGGGGGGTGGTGCGTATTGCTCCCAGCACACCTGGACAAAAGCACGGATTAAACCCTCTGTTGTTTTTTTATATATAGATTTTCAGTGGACTTAAAGTTTCTGCTTAATTATATCCTCCCAGCTAATTTCTCCATTCATCTTTGATCCCTAGCACCTGGCAGTGTTTAGAGCATAATAGATCCATTATGTATTGAGTGATTGAATAAACCTAATAGTGTGAATTCTGGGACCCAGGAGACAACCCATGCCCTCAGGGGTTCTAGATGTCACCTAATTCCTGGGCAAGAACTGCGCAAGAGGATTCTCATCCTAAAGCCATCCCACCCACAGGGTTCCAAGTGCTGACCATACCTATGAACCCTAATAATTTAGTAACACTGGGGGCAGGGGGCACAAGGGAACATCAGGAGCAAAGACTTGGAAATGAAAAGGGTGTTTGTGGAAATGCAAGTACAGACACCACCAACTTACTGATTTTTCTTTTGACTTTACGATGGTGCAAAAGCCATATGTATTTATTAGAAACTACTTCGAATTTTGAATTTTGATCATTTGCTGGACTAAAAGCAATGTACAATATGATACTCTACAGTATATTAATTGGATCACTCATTAGATAATTTTGCTCAATTGTGGGATAATATATTCTGAGCACATTTAAGGTAGGCTAGTCTAAGCTATGATGTTCAGTAGATTAGGTGTATTAAATGTATTTTTGACTTATGGTATTTTCCATTTACAATGGGTTTATGGGACGTGAGTTGAGGAGCATTTGTTTATCACTTTAGCAAGAGTACAGTGGGGAATGGGTGGCAGGCAGCTGTGAATGATGAGGCTGGAGAAGTGGCCACATGCAGGATTTTTAAAGAGCATACTAAGGAATTTGGACTCCTCACTTCTGATGGCTAACATCAAACTTCTCGGCCTCATTTCATCTCTAAAACATTGTTAGGATTAAAAGAGGTATGAATATAGCTGAATCTGTATCTGTTTCTGGGCAAAGACAGTGGACTAGGTTTGATCCAGGATAAATTCTATTGAGGAGGGGACTGTTAAAGACTCCAGAGGGAGAGAAGGAGCCCAGACATGAGAAACCAAGAGAGCTAGGTCAGAGAGGTCTTCCCTATGCTGCCTCTCTTTCAGATGTGGAGTGGTAGACCTCTCTGTCTCCCTCCCCTTTTCTGCTGGCCTGCCATCTGCCCCTGCTCCCTACCCGGGGGCAATACCAGTTCTGGCTGCTTTGTGAGCAGTAAAGTAGATAGGGAAGCCTTGGAAAGGGAACTGCAAGGACATAGATGTTAACAGAGTCTTGGCACTGTGCACAAGGGGCGGGGGTCTCTTCATGAGCCAAGAGAAGTTCACACTCGATTATGGAGACAAAGGAGACAGCCTCCCAGCTTTCTCATTTTGGATCTCTGGCATGCTAGGCATCATGTTCTGCTATGAGTCTTGTACAGCTGGGGACTCCTGGCCCTCCAGATTTCTTGAGCTCTTGGAGCATAGGTCAGTTAGGTGCTTCCAGGTGGTAGGAAGGAGACCTCCATGAAGTGACAGAGGTGCAGGGCCAGACCTCCTCTGGAAGAGTAGGGTTGAAGGCCGCCACCCTAACATGGTAAATTCCTACTCTTGGCTCCACTTTCCTCTCACCTTTCACCTCATTTCTGCCAGCCCCTTAAATGTTGGGTTACCAGGCCCTACACATTCATCCTAGATAATCTTACCAATACATATACTAGTGCCTCCCAAAACTTTATCTCCACCCCAGATCTTTTCTGACTGCTTCTGAAAAACCTCCATTCGAATGTCCCACCAATGCCTCAAACTCAACACCTCCTAAGCAAAGCTCATCAACTTTCTCCCAAACATGCGCCATCTCCTGTGTTCTTATCACAGCTAATTATTACCCACCCAGTGGTCAAAGCAAGAAGTCATTGGCTCCTCTTTCTTTCTCCCCTCATATCCAGTTCTTGCTGTGTCTACCTCCTAATGTTTCAAATCCTCCCATTTCTCTCCATATCCACTGCCAGCACAACAATCCTGGCCAGCATTATTTCTGTCTGGAGACTGCAAAGCCTTCTTATTGGACTCCCCACATCCTCTCCTATCTTCCTCCTCTGCAGCTGGAGTGATCTTTAAATAACGCAAATCTGTTTCTCCTCCATATAAATCCCTTCAGATGGCTTCCCATTGTTCATAAGATAAAGTCAGATTCCTTAATATGCTGTTAGTGTCTGTCCTGTTTCTCATTTATACTTAACGTTCCAGACACTTTTTTTCAGTTCCTTAACTTGCTGTGTTGCTCACTTCTGAGGATGATACTTATCCCTCAGGACTGTTAGTCCCAAGAATCCTTCCTTGATTTTAAGTCTGGGCCACAGCCCCTTCTATGGGCTCCCATGATTTCTGAGCTTCCACTAAAAAAATACTTCATTGAAATTGCTTGTTACGAGTCTTTCTCCTTCCACGTATATGCCCTAGGAGGAGGCCTTTGACCATTTTCTTACCCAAATGACAGATTGATGGGGCTCTGTATCATACCCTTTGTCCATTTCTATAGCTGCAGGATGCTCCTCCAGCCTGACCAGGCAGATGAAGCGGTGCAAACCCACCCTTTCTTGGGGATAATGGGCCAGTCACAGGTGCTCCTGGTGGGCTGCTCACAGAGAAAGGTCTTTCCTGAAACCCAAAACAGGACTCCAAGACCCAGACCCCGAAGACCCAGGTCCAATTGCAGCAATCCTCAGGGCTCCACCATGTGTGTTTGCTGCCCCCAAGTGTCAAATGACAAACTGAAGATTTCTTTGATTTCCACCCCAGGGTTTTAAAATACAGCAGGTGCTCAGGGGAGTACAGCTTACCCAGACCCTGAGACTCTGAAGACTCAGCTGCTGTAGATTCCATCCCTTCAAAAGGCTCATGACTGTCTGACACCCCGCTCCTTTCTGTCCATCCTATCCCCTTTGCCCATGGGCTGGTTTGGGTTGGGTGTCTCAGATATTGTTTGGAGGGACACCCAAGGGTAGGCTAGCCTGTTAGAGAAGCTGGGAGCCTCTCCAGAGAAAGTGACCTTCTCCAGGTGGTCCCATCTAGACCCCCTTGCACATTTTCCTCCCTCTTTTCAGCCCCTTTAGTAATGCTTCTTCCAGTACAGTACATGCTGACAAACTATAATGCATGTTCAGTTTAGTGCTCTATCTTTCTGTGAAGAGCCACATTGCCTGCCAACCTGGTGTTAAATTAAGGAAAAGACGAGACTTACTGGTTCTGTCTCCCCACCCCCAAATGAACACACACATAGTATCTTTCATTTGATGTGATGACCAGAATGTATAACAGAATGACTGGAAAAATTAAAAGGGGAAATGCTTGAGAAGACCTGCAAAGGAAAGCCACCCATAAACCCAATCCACTAAGTTCACTCTTATATTAAGGAAAAATATGTATCAATCTTTATGAATGTTAACATTCACATTTATTCATTTGCTCAACATGTATTTGTTGAGCACCTAGTAGGTGCCAGGCACCGTTAGGTAGTAGGATACAGTGGAGAGCAAATATGGAGTTACTGCTCTCACAGAAGAGACACTACTGAGGAGACAGATCTTTCATCAAAGAAACACATAGTTCAATGTAAGATTGCAATGATGAAAAAAGATTACAACAGTGACAGGATAAGAAGGGAGGTGTGTTACTCTAAGAGCCTCCAGTGTCTAACAAAGGATTTCACCAGACTATCAGGCATACAGCATAGTGCTGATAGGACCCCAAAAAAGGATAAGACTTAGTTATTAGGTTTGGAGGTTGTTGTAAATGGTTTTTAAGACCTCAGGCATAGAGCTGAAGTCATTGTACCTTCAGTTTGCGGCACATTATCATCATTCCACTTGAGTGCTCTCTCATTAATTTTGATCTCTATTTTTCATTCCCATTCTGTTTACCCCGTAGGTAATAATGAATTTATGAGACAACCTGCCTTTTGTCTGATAGGTCAGAATTTTGTTGAATGGGTTTGATGAAAAGATATTGGCTCAAGTTAAAGGGCATTGGAAAAGCTATTACTGGAGGTTGGATAAGAAGGAAAGAGATTGAGGGAACATAATTATTGATCTGGAGGTCCCGATGACTTTGAAATCTGAGTACTGAAGATAAAGCAGCAAGATGGAAGGAAGAGAGGTTATAGTCAGAAGTAAGGTGCTTGAATACGTGAGTTTGGAGGTAGAGCAGATCTAGTTGATGACAAAATCCAAGGTGAAGTGGTTGGCTGAGGTGGAATGAAGTCACTGGAGAAAACTTCAGAGTGTTAAATGGTCAATGACGTGGATTCAGAATAATGGATGAAATTAAGGTGGAGAACAAGACTAAGAACCAAAGACCAATGCCCTTGAAGAATAAGGGAGAAGTTGAATAGGAAAGGTTGAATAAGGGTTGAACAGGAAAACATATGGCTACAAGTGACAGGAAACCTATATTAATAGGGCTTAAACAAGAGTTTATTTCCTACACTTGACATCCAGTGGTAGCCTCTCTAGGGCTCATGTGTACTCCTCAGTGTCAAAAGACCCAGGCTCCTCCTATCTTGTTACTCTGCTCTGCATGGTACCAATCTCCAAAGCTACCTCACAGTAATATCGTGCTGAGGTTCCAGCCATCGCATCTTCATTCCAGACAGCTGGAAGCAATGAATGCACAGAAGCATGCACCCTTCCTTTAAGAACACTCGGAAGCTGTATATATCACTTTCCCATTGGCCAGAATTTAGTTATAGCTATAAGGGAAGCCGGGGGATGTCATTATTTTGAGGAGCCACTGGATACAGAAATGAGAAGCTTAGTGGACTTGGTCCTTGCAGTGTTTGCGGGTGGGTCTTGCTTGGCCAAGGTGATCCAAACCAGATACCTGCTCCACCACCAAAATGTATAAATTTACCTATCACAGCCAATCAGGTTATCATACACTTAATCTTATTCTTGTATCAGCTGCTTGGTAAACAACATCTAACCCATGGTATCAGCCCCAAAATTGTACATTTGTCTATAAATTATATATAATTTTCCTGTCAGGAACACTCAAATGCCAAAAATGATCCTTACTAGCCCCATTGTTCAAGATAGGTCCGTTTGTAAAACAATGACAAAAAGCTCTGAAAGTTTTCACCTGGCCATAATTTTAGGTTTTATTATGACCAGCTTCTTATTAGGGTGGCTACTCTCTCAGAGAGCTATGACTCATTTCTGGCCTCCTACCCACCACTAGGCCCTGTACCCTCCAGGATCTAAGATATCTCCATTCTCGGGGAAACTTTTTCAATGTTACATTCAGTTTCAGGTATACAGCATAGTGCTTAGACATTTATATAATTTATGTCATTATCCCCCTGGTAAGTCTGGTACCCACCTGGTTTTAGAGAAACTTTAATCAAAATGTTAGAATATTTAGGGGCAAATTGATTTGCATTGTTTAACAGAGCAGTCACAAGGAAGTGACTTCTATACAGTCTTGTGAGTGAAGGTAGCAACAGATAGCTGTTAGCAGGAACTCTTGATAATGCTGCTGCCAGGAAATGTGACTGCAGGACAATGGGAAGCAGCATGGGTGAGCATAGGCCCCTGGCTCTACTGCTTATAATCTGTGTGAACTCTAGGCAATTTAACCTCAATTCTTCCTTTGTTTTTTTTTTAAAAAAAGGCTATCATATACCTTGCTGCATTCTGTGAGAAACAGTTTAGATATATACAAGCTGCCTAGCACATGCTTGGCTCCTGGTAGGTGCCATATACAGTTATTGTTTTAAATTCTATTAGATATAAATTCCCTGGGGCAGTGATAGCACTTGACATTGTAGCTAATCACCCAACATTCATTGAATGAATGAATGAATGAATGCTTAAGGTTCAGTTCTAAGGTGAGAATGCTTGACCATTCAGGAAAGGAGCTGTTAAAACAGGAGAATCAAAAATCAGGAATCTGAATTCAGAGGCCCAGACACCTTCAGGGAAACTTCTGCAAACAACTGCTTACACTTAACACAATGCTACATTTTTAACGAGGAATCCAAAACGCTTCTGCTGATTTTCAGATAACACTGACATCCTGACTTGCATGCTTTTGTATAGCCCCACCCCTTAAACCACAATGATGGTGAGGAAGGAGGGCAGAAAACATCCCTCTGAGCCCAGATGAGTGACATGAGGCACAAAGTGGGTGAAAGAAGTGGAGCAATGGAACCCTTTCCATGAATCCTAACTTTACACTGCAGGTTCTTTTCTCTGCACTATATGTAGCTTCCTGGGCCCATAAAGGACAAAATATGTTATAGCAGAACCAAAAACAGATCAAATAGCATAAGGCAAAAGTGGACAGATTGATAACATTAGCTGAGGTTTCTTTTGGCATTTTGGTCCTTGTCTAAAAGATACATTTGGAAATAATATGGGTGCTTCTGAAGGTGATAAGGAAGAAGGCAGCAACAAACTATGAGGCCCAGATGAGCCTCCCTGACCTGCTCAGCAGCCTCCCTCCTGGGTCCAGTTTCGGGCATTGATGAAGAGCTGGAGCCAGGGGGAGGTGGTCAGAGTGTCAAATGGAGGGGGTCGCCATGCCCATTGCCAAGGCCTCACAGCCCGTTCGGGGTGAGGCATGAGAGCCAGGTGGCGGCCATCAGGAGAGCATACACCAGCTACTCCCCCCGGGGACCCATTGGGATTCAGAGGGTACTGTTCTGTGGGGTTCCCATCATCATCTGCCCAGTGCAGTGGAGCCAAACCCCTGGCCTCAATCTGGGCTTGGAGTTCCGGAGACGAAAATGCCATGTAACCTGGGAGGAAAGGAGAAGGGGAGTGAGAGCAAAGCTCCTTCATGCCCTCACCCTGCCCCCACCTTCAGACCCTCCTCCCTGCCTTCCTGGAGCCTGACCTTCACCATGGGCGCTCCACACAGGTAGCACAGCACCCTCCATCCCTCGCAGCATCAGGGCTGGCCCAGGCCCCACACGCACAGTAGCCCAGCGAGACTCGAAACGCCCAGACAGGTTGTGGCGCAGCAGGAGGCCAGGCTGGGCTGCCCAAGAGTCATGGCCCATCTCCCCTGCCTCCTCATTGGGGTTGCCTCCCACCCAGCCCAGCAGAGCCAGCAGTTGACAGCCATTACACACGCCCAGGCTGAAGGTGTCTGGCCGCTTCCGGAAGCGCCTCAGCTCAGCCCCAGCCTGGGGATGAAAAGTCACAGCAGCTGCCCACCCTAGGAGGGAAGAGGGAAGTTAGGGTAAGACTTGGACGGCTGCTTTTCCATCCTATTGTTATACTGCCCCAGAACCGCCCCGTCTCGTATATAAGTGTAAGAGAAGAAATGGGCTTAACTGCTTAAATTTGATGTTGCCAACTCCTGGGCCAGATATGGCCCATGTTAAGTTTTTTGCTTGGCCAACAGAGCATTATCAAAAATTTTACTTCGGTTGCCTAACATTTAAAAATAAAGTTATATAGAACACTCTGGATTTTTGGCTTTTCTTGAAAAACAGATCTAGCCATGCCGAGCCAGCTTTCCAACAGGACAATCTGCAGAAGCTGAGTAGCAGCTGCCCCTTTAGACAGATGTGTGCCCTCCAGGGTAGCACAGCCCCACCCAGCTACCCACCTCATTTTAAGTTACCAGCAGGCCTTCTGTTGGGACATGGCCCAGAATGAATGTGCTCACTCTCTACTGGCCTTATGGAGGTGAAAGGCCAATCAATGCCCAGTCAAGGAAGAGGAGGAGCTAAGGCACCTCTTCAAGAATGTATGGTGACGGAGTGAGCAGAAGCCTGTACACCAACCTTTGGCAGAGCCCAGGACATCTGCATAGCTGAAGCCACCCACAAAGGCCACACCATGGAATTTGTCCAGCTTGATTGCTCCTGAGCAGAGGTCTTGCATGGTTACATCCCACACCTGGCAGGATGGGGAGGGGAAGTATAAGAGGACACACAGTCCGAGGCCCAGTCCCAGCTCTGCCAACCACACTGCTCACCTCAAACCCAGCCAAGTGGAAGGCATCAGCCATCTCCCTGTCTCCATTACTGCCCTCTTCTCGCAAGATGGCAACTCGGGGGGTGAAACCACCTGAGGGGAGGAGTATCTTTGAACCAGAGGGCTACCTCCCCACCCCAACCCCCAGATACCTTTTCCAGGGTGCACCCAGGCATCTAGGCCCAAAGTACCCAAGAACCCAAACCTCTGCATACACTCCCTTACCAGGCTCATGGAGTAGGGAAGCTTTGGGGAAGGTGGGGGGCAGGTAGTAGCTGGGCCCTGTTCGCTCCCTCAACCCCTGTTCCTCCTCTGCCACACAGCTTGGCTCTGCCTGCAGCCGGTCCAGCTGGAAACTTGTCTCTTCCCAGAAAGCTCGTAGCTGCCCAACAGGTTCCTCCAGAACCACAGTCCCGTTCACTGATACCCGGACCTAGAGAGGGACAAATCCATCAGAGGCCAAGAGCAAGAATACCCAACCTGGGCCTCTATTAGGCTGGCAGATGAACCAGATCTCCCCACCATATGCCACTTTTCCTCACTTCCTTACCATGGCATGGGGCCCGGTGTGGCCTGTGCAGCCCATCTCCAGGCAGTGGAGGCCAGCATCCCGGTAGCGCTTCAGCACTTGGGCGAGGTATGGCTCCTGCACCTCCAGTACCAGGCCTGGCTCCTCAGCAAACAGCACAGGCAGCACTGGGAGAGCCAATGGGGTGTCAGTGTGACTTGTATGCTGTTAGGAACTCAGAGGTAGAGTCAGGGGAGTATGGCCAAGGGTTGAGGAAGTGGAAGTAGGGATCAGGGTGGGATAAGGCCTGGGAGAACAGGACCAAGGATGTGGCATCAGTGTAGACAGGAGGTCTCGGAGGGGTACAGTTGGGAACAATGGGTGCTATCTGGCTCAGTGGTCAGAGAAGACAGAAAGGGACTCAGGGGAAATGGAGTTGGGGGCACTCTATTCATTAACAGGACATGAGGACTGCAGGGTAGGGCAGGCAGCCATAGGTCTAGATCCTGGACTCCTCACCATCGACCCCAGGAGCAGACACATCCACGTCTATCCCACAATTCCCAGCAAAGGCCATCTCTAGCAGGCAGGTGATGAGACCCCCATCGCTCACATCATGGCCTGAGCAGAGGAGGCGGTCTGGAGGAAGGAGAAAAAGGCTCAGCAACCTCAGGGTCCAAACCTGATGGTTCCATGCCCCCTTCTTGATTGAGTAGAATATGTGTGAGAATATGGGCACATAGAGAACCAGAGAGAAGGGCGTCTCCTCCTTCTTGCCCCTCTCTCTCATGCTCAGCTGCTGAATGTCTGCCATGTTCTAGCCACATGCAACATCTCCCCCGGGGCCTCACTTACCTTTCAGTAGCCCCTGGGTGATGCTAAAGGCACGCACCAAGTTCTCAGGACAGTCCAGGTTGGGAGGCTGCTCACCAAGCTGGGAGAAGCATTGGGCCAGAGCTGTACCCCCTAGCCGGTGCTGCCCAGGGCTCAGAGGCACATAGAGTAGATGGCCTGGAGAGACAGGGAAGGGGTAAAGGAAAAGATAACGCATGGTTGAGGAGGACCCCTTCCTGAGATGTTCACAAGCACTAAAGTTCCCAATAGTAGAATACTCAGACCACCAGTCCCAGAAAGCACTGCAGTCCTAGTGCAGAAACGAGGGGGCCCAGCACTCACAACACAGACCCCAAATAAAGGACCAGACTTTGAATACACAAAACAGTGAGGAGAACCCAGACCTCTCCCTCTAGGACACTTGAGATCTGGGGTCACAGTGGCTGTAATGTCTGGACAGACAGCATAAGCTGAGATGACCAGTGATCCTGCAAAGCAAGGAATAAGAGAGTAAGGTGCCAGCCCAAACCTATAGGTCCCGCCCCTCTCCCTGCAGCTCCCAGATCTCACCAGGAGCCAACACAGTCTCAGAGCCAACCCGGGCTGCCATGCTGAGGGAGTCCTTGCCACCGTCCACGGCCACACCCAGGGCCGCCATCAGTGCAACCATAGCCTCACAGGCATCAGCCAGAGCTGCACCTTCCCCTGGGAGCTTGGCTGCCCACATCCAGTTCCCACTGCACTTCACATCCTGGGAAGTGGTGGAGACTTGGCATTAGTGGAGAGGAGAGATGAGAAGTCCGGGGTGGGGACAGAGGGCCTGGGAGGCCACATGCATGAAGAACAAGAAGAACAACTGAATGGTGAATATAAGCATGTCTCAAAGGCCTGGTGCTCCAGGGCAGCAGCTGTGGGGGACTCACCCGCAGGTCAGTGACTAGAGCAAACACCAGGTTGGTGAGGGCCTCAGTCACAGCCAGCCGCGAGGCAATCTTGGGGTCCAGCAGGCTCTTGACTGGCTGCTCTCCCAGGGCCGTGGCAGCCCCTACGAGTTCCTGGTGACTCAGTGCCACGACTGCCACATCTGCTAGAGGTGTCTGCAGGGGCCCGACACACTGCTGTTGCGCCACCAGGCCACTCACGGAGCGGTCCACCTGTAGAACCAGGTGAGGTTGACAAGAGCACAAGAGACTAGGAACACAGGAGTGGTAGGAGGTCTGGCTCGCCCCAAACATGCAAACAAGAGCTTGACTCTGAGGGTGGGCAGCAGGAGACCCAGGCCATCAGGCTGTCTGCCCTTCTCCCTTGAGCCTGGTAGACCCCCACAGCAGTCCCCAAGAGTGGGAGATCGGGGTAGGTAAGCTGAGGGGAGGGTGCAGAGGTCTGAGGGGCAGGGCAAGGCTTCAGAGAGGACCTTGTTGGTGAGGTAGCGCTTGCTGGCCACAGCAGGCAGCCTCAGAACCCGCTCCAGGGCCTGGCCCACGCTCAGTCCCAGGGGCAAGGCCAGAGGCTTCAGCATGGGGACATTCCTCTTGAGGAAGTACTCCTGCAACACAGATGGCAACAAGGGTGTGAGCACCTGGGAGAGGGCTGAGCACATGGGTGACAAAGCACGACCAGCATAAATGGACCAGGAAAAGAAGAAACACAGCTTTCCCTTTCACCTCCACATACCTTACGAGGCATCTTGCCCAGCACCCAATCCAGCTCCAGGTCCACAGGGGTTGGGAGAGGTGTTGGGGGGGCATCTCCCTCACCATTTCTCCCCACAGGATGCTCCCGATCATCCACCAGCACTATCTATAGACCACAGGGACAGTGCCCAAAGGGAATGAGTCTATGACCAGCAGCAGGGAGTACTTTAGAAAGCAGGGCAGAAATGTCCTTTCCACCCTGTTTGCTTCTCCTTGTAAATCCCTAGCCCTTCCCACTTCCTACAGCCTGTTTCCTACAACATGTTTGCTACCAACTGTACCCAAGCAGCTCAAGCCCACCCACAGTGTCTGCTACTGGGGCCAACTCACTCTCCTATCTCCGGTGATGGTGCCCACAAAGCAAGCTGGGCAGCGTTCCCGGATGCTAACGCGACTTAGGAAGTCCCGGTCTGGGGCCCTCAGCAGAAGTGCATTCGACTCTTGGTACTCAGCCCCCCAGATTTCCAGGGCATTTAGTGTCGGGTCCCCGAGCTGAACATCCATGAGGAAGAGAGAAAGAGAAGGGTCAGTGGGTACTTCTAAATTTCATGTTCTTGCTAGGAGTAGGGGGAAGATGAGTGGGCCAGCTAGGGTAAGACCCACCTGGAACCGGCTGGTATAAATAATGGCTCCAGCTGGGTCACTCAGCTCCTTCAGGACGTTGCCTGGTGACAGGGTTCCAGGGAGAGGTGGCAATTTGGATCTGGTTAGCACCAGGTGAACAAAGGGCAGTCCTTGGCCTCCAAATTCTGTGGGTCCCTGTGTGAATCGCTGCTGCACCCTCACCACCAACTATTCCATGGCAGCAGGCTTCCACCCCCCAAACTTGAGCCTGTCCAGAATGTGCAGCGGATGGAGACTGAAACCCAGACCTGAGCAGTATTGCAGATTCTTGATGCCTCTCCAGTCCCTTGTCCCAGCCTCTTCTCTCACCATTGCCACCAGCGCCTTGGTCATGGAGGCTGCAGATAGGATTTCCCCTAGGGGCCTCCACACAAGCCCGGATCACACGGTTCATCTTCTGTTCCATCTCCGGGTCTCCTCGCTGCACAGCCCCAAAGTCCAGGTCGCTGGCATTGTCTCCTTGCACCTGGGGAATATATGGCATGGCTTAGCTCAGGGGGATTGGGAGCTCTCATACCCTACCCACACAAGGGGCCTGGAGATATCAAAGATAATAACTTGGTGATACCTGCAACTATTCTTACTTACCTGTACAGATGAAGCAGCTCCACCCCCAACTCCGATCCTATAGACAGGACCCCCAACCTTTACAACATCCATGCCTGCAAAGAAAGAGGACAGAATCAGAACACTGAGGATGTGACCAGAAGAAATGCATATAACAAAGTGTGAGGATAAGGGGAAGTAATATTAGGAGAGAGATATCAAAATTACAAACGCACATATTCTTTGGGTAAACGCACTTCGAGGAATTTATCCTGCAGATTTATTTGCACAGGTACAAAATCACCTATGTCCAAAATTAAACACTGCAGCATTATATGTATTACCAAATTTAGGAAATAATCTAAATGTTAACAACAGAGAACTGATTAAATAAAATTACAGAATATCTATACAATGAAAAATTAAAGCACCAAAGAAGAGAATTACACATGAAGATGATGAAGCAATATAATTTTATCAGTATGAAATGATCTCCAAGATATATTGCTAAGTGAAAAAAGCAAGGTACAGAAGTATGCACACCCATTTACGATAGCATTAAAAAGAATACTTAGGAATAAATTTAACAATAGAAATATAAGACATACATTGAAAATTATAAAATATCTTAGCAGAGCTAAATAAATTGAAAGAGACCCCACGTTCATAGATCGTTTTGAAGGCACTACTCCCCAAACTGATCTATAGAATCAACATACTCAGCTACCTTTTTCACAGAAATCGATCAGCTGAACCTAAAATTTCTATGGAAAGTTGAGGGACCTTGACAACCAAAACATTTCTGCTTTTAAAACTTATTGCCAAGCTACAGTAATCAAGATGGTGTGGTACTAGCATAAAGACAGATGTATATACAGATCGGTGTACTAAAACCATTGAGTCCATAAATGAACCCATACATTTATGGCCAACTGAGTTTTGACAAGAGTCCCAAGACAATTCAACAGCTAAGGAAAGTCTTTTCCAAAGGTGGTATTATGACAACCAGATATCCACATATGAAAGAATGAAGTTGGACCCCTATTTCATACCATATATAAAAATTAACTTAAAATGTCAGAGACCTAAATAGAAGAGCTAAAAGTCAATAAAAGTATTACAAGAAAACATACAAGTAAACCTTTGTGACCTTGGGTTAGGCAATGGTTTCTCACTCACGCACTAAAACCACAGGGAACAAAAGAAAAAGTAGGTAAATTGTACTTTACCAAAATTACAAACATTTGTGCTTCAGAGGACATTATGAAGAGAGTAAAAAGACAACCCATGGAATGGGATAAATTATTTGCAAATCATTTATCTATCTGATATGGGTCTAGTATCCAGAATATACAAAGAATTCTTAAAACTCTATCAAAAAAAGACAAATAATCCCATTTAAAAATTAAGAAAAGGTCTATGGCCATGCTACTGTGAACAATCCCGATCCCATCTGATCTTGGAAGCTAAGCAGGGTCAGGCCTGGTTAGTACTTGGATGGGAGACCACCTAGGAAGACCAGGTGCTGTAGGCATAAGAAATAAAAAAATAAGGGATTGTAAGCTGACAAGGTCCTTGCAATCTGTGAGGTCAACCAAGGGTTGCCTCACCTAAAAAAATAAATAAAATAAATAAAAATTTAAATTTAAAAAGGGCAAATGGCATTCAGAGAAAAGCAGGAGTAGCGGTACTAACATCAAAAGGTAAAGAAAGATACTGAGGGACACTTCATAATGATAATGGGAATCATGCACCAAGAAGACATAACACTTATTAATATCTATGCTCCCAATCAGGGAGCCCCGAAATATGTAAAGCAATTACTAACAGAACTAAAGGGAGAAACAGACCAAAACACTATCATAGTAGGGGACCTAAATACCCCACTGTCAGAAATGGACAGATCATCCAAACAGAAAATCAATAAGGAAATAACATCCTTAAATGACACATTAGACCAACTGGACATAATTGACGTTTCCAGAGTCTTCCATTCCAAAACAGCTGCTTATACATTCTTCTCTAGTGCACATGAAACATTCTCAAGGATCGACCCCATACTGGGACACAGAGATAGCCTCAACAAATATAAGAGGGTTGATCATACCAACCATATTCTCTGATCATAATGCCTTGAAACTAGAGATCAACTGAAAAAAGAAAGCAGGAAGAACCACAAATACACGGAGATTAAACAACATGCTACTGAAGAATAACTAGGTCAGAGAAGAAATAAAAAGAGAGATCAAGAGATACATAGAAACAAATGATAATGATAGTACAACAAATCAAAAGTTTTGGGACACAGCAAACGCGGTCATAAGAGGAAAGTTCATATCAGTACAGGCCTATCTCAAAAAAACAAGAACAAGCCAAAAGAAACAACCTAACGCTTCATCATAAAAAACTAGAAAAGGAAGAACAAATGAAGCCTAAAGTCAGCAGAAGGAAAGAAATAATCAAAATTAGAGCAGAAATAAATGAAATTGAAAACGAAACAAAAAAATAGAAAAAATAAATGCAACAAAGAGCTGGTTCTTTGAGAAGGTTAAGAAAATTGACAAACCTCTGGCTAGACTCACTAAAGAAAAAAAGAGAAAGGACACAAGTGAAAATTTAAAAAGGATCTGAATAGACATTGCTCCAAGGAAGATATACAAATTGTCAACAAGTGTATGAAACAATGCTCAACATCAGTCAAGCAAATCAAAACCATAATGACCTACCATTTCATACACACTATGACTGTAATCAAACAGAAAGCTAATAAACAAGTGTTGGTGAGGATTTGGAGAAATCAGAATTCTCATAGACTGTAAAATGGTACACTGCTTTGGAAAACAGTCTTTTTTAAAAGTTGAATATGGTTACCATATGACCCAGCAATTCCACTCCTAGTCATATATCCAAGATAAGTAAGAATGTAAATACATAAAAAAAACTTGTACACAAAAGTTTATAGCAGCATTATTTGTAACAGCCAAAATTAGAAACAACCTAATTCTCTATCAACTGATAAACAAAATGTAACATATCTATACATGAAATATGATTCAGCCATAAAAAGGAATGAAGTACTGATATACACTATAATATGGATGAACCTTGAAGAGATCATGCTAAGGGAATCCAGACACAAAGGCCAAGTATTAGACGATTCCATTTATGTGAAATGTCCACAATAGGCAAATCCATAGAGACAGAAAGTAGATTAGTGGTTGTCAGAGGCTGAGGGAAGAGGGATGGGATGTGTGACTGCTAATGGATACAGGGTTTTTTTCTGGGGTGATGAAAATGCTCTGGAATTAGTGGTGATCAATGTACAACGTTAAGAATATACTAAAAACCACTAACTCATACACTTTAAAAGGGTAAACTTTATGGTACGTGAACTACATTTCAATAAAGTAGTAAAAGAAAAAGAAGTGTGCACATGTGCTACTTATTATTATTTTTAAAGGGTCAAATATACATGTGGGTCTGTTTACATGCGCAAGAAATAACTCTGGTGGGGTACAAAAGAGATTGATTAACACTGGTTATCTCTAGGGAGGGAAACTAGGTAGCTGAATCAAGGGAA